CTGGCCCGTAAAACCAGGCGAAACTGTGCGGAGGGGTGCTATGGTTGGGATCAGAGGCCAAAAGCCTGTGTTCCGATTCCGGTCTTGGGGATGAAGGGTGCCGCAGCGTTCCCCTTGCAGGTGGCTTGCCTTGAGATTAAATCGACACCATTAAGCAAGAGCTGGGCCGAAGGATTCGTTGGCTTTGCCGGGGAAAAGGTGGATGTGACGGGGGGCTCTGGGTTGGGCGGAATGCCGGGGCGTCTCGCGGTGCCGTGGCAGGCCGCCGTGGTATCTACTATGTAATACTACGTAGTGTAAGTAGGTAGGTAAGGGGGTTGGTTTGCGACATATCCGTACTGCGTAGTAGTACACGGATACGCGATACGTTGGCGATGATGGTAGGGGATGGCTTGGAAGTCGTCCCCTTAACATGTGAGGGTCGGTGCCGTCCTGGGCCGTGTCTTGGGGGTCCACCGAGTCCAGATGGTTGACACGAAGATGGCGTTGCCTCCCTGGGGCATTGTGGGATCTGTGACGATGGGTTCCCTGCAGTCGCGCAAGTGAGGCGTCGGGCAATGTTTGCTGATGTTGTTGTAAGAAGGATGAACATTGACCGGGAAGAGGCATGATGGAGGCTCCTGGGCTGGAGGGTAGGAGAGGGAAGTCCCCTCGAGGTGAATGATTTTACCTTCTGTCTTGGCCTTTGTTGCTCACCCGACCCGTGCTTGGCGAATATACTTGAACATACGGCGTAGTCTGTGATGAGAGAGTAGTTGGCCACCCCTGCTCGGGTACGCACATTGATTGATTGATTGCACTGCATAAGGGACGGAGAGACAGAGACAGTGACAGTGACAGTGACAGTGACAGCCACGGTCTCAGTCACAGTGATAGTGACAGAGACACAGAGAGAGCGAGAGCCAGAGCCACAGAGCTGGCTGCGTCGGCCATTTTACTCAGTAATGCCGGGATTGGGTCCGGTGGAGAAGCCAAAGTTAATCTACCATGCATGTTTCGAGGCAATTGAGTGTCTGTCCATGGGTCCCCCCCTCGCTCATCCGGTGTAACAACAGTGCGGTGTAAACCACCTAAACCTGGTTTAAACTACATTGCTCTCTCTCTCTCTCTCTCTCTCTCTATTACACGTACACTTCTGGGTACTGGAGGGTAGGACTGAGACTGACTGTGCTGGGCAGAGACACGGGACTGGAGTGCCCGCCCCCCCCCCCCGGAGTGCATCTTCCGCCTGACCGACGGGCAGCTTGTGCTCAGATTCCCTCGAGGCACATGGTGCGGCACGGGAGAGTGCATGCCGCTGTGTACTCCGCACTTTGTACGCATGCTTGGTAGTTTATCTAGCTAGGCATCCTAGGCATACGGAGTACCTAGGTAGGCAAACTATGATATGGTACGTGTATGGAACCTCGCATGTACCCCAGTCACGTTCATGTGGCGCTGCGTGCAGTGGTGGTTCCAAATAAACTCGGTGTCATCTGCCTGCCAAATATCTTCCAAGATCAACCCAGCCCATCCCATCCCATCCCATCCCATCCGTCCCATTCCATTCCAGAACCCGTTCCTCACGACTATAACTGAACTCGTCTGCATACATTAGTGTAGTGTCTTGGTACGAATGCACTAAATCATTGGTCTACACCTCCTGTCCCTCCCTTGACCTCTCTCTCTCTCTCCGCACTCTCTCCTGCCATACAAGACCCCTGTCAGGTATTATTTGGATCACGGAGGTAGTATTGCCATATACCGACGGCATACCTAGCACCTGCATCGAGAACCTGGAGAGTGCAGGTTGGGGTAAACGAGATAACTCACAGAAATCTTCTTGGGGCACCCGTGGCGCCAGGGTGGCGTGCAGCCAAGTCCCAGACAGGACGCTGGCCAACGAGATGCCATCCACACAGATGCACTCACTCACGTCAGGGCATGACAGGACAGGACGGGACAGAACAGGTCAGGTCAGGAGACCCATCTTAGCGCCAACGTCCAGTATGAGATGCCATGCCGTCCATCGTCAGTACGCAGTACGGTAGAGGCAGCCCAAAAGGGCGTCCCTTGCCATGTCCTTGATCCCCGTTTGGGCACATAGTGACAATGCAATCGATGAGGATCCGGGGTTCTTGCAGGGACGCCCTCCCCTCTTCTCACCGCATGCTGCACGACTGCACTACATATGCCAAAACCTCAACGTCGGACACCTACCACCCCCATGCCCATGAGGTACGAGACTGCCGGCGTTGTGCTCCTCCCTGGATGATGCGACGCAGTGCGCGTCGGGGCCAACTGATATGTATGTACGTCGAGGGGGAGATGGTGTTCCGTCACGTTGGGGCGGCCATGTCGTGTTAGATAAATGGGAAGCTTGCCCCCATCACCATCATCATCACCATTTATCTTTAAGGATTAGAAGAAAGAAGAAGGAGAAGATGATGATGAAAATGACAAGGAAGAGATGTCTGTGTGTACGGAGTACACGGATAGTATAGTGCCTCAACACGCTCTACCTAGGCCACTCTACTCCAACACGACTGGCCCTACTAGCTACAACTGCCTGCCGCTTGCACGGCGGCCAGGAACGGTCAAAACCCGGCGTGCGCTTATACCCAGCGTCTCTGCGTGTGCGTGTGCGTATGCGTATGGGATGTGGGATTGCCGCCAACACACTGGCGGGCGCCCGACGAGGTAGAAAGAGTATTAGGCCAGAAAGAGGTTGCGGGACCGTCATGACAGGGGACCAAGAAGGATGGTATATCCCAATGGCGGTGACCTGTCAGCCAGACAGAGACAGACCGAACTACATGGTAGAAAGAAGCCAGGCCGCCGCCCCCCCTCGAGCAGAGAGAACGAACCATGACGAGACTCGGACTGACGATTCCCCAACTTTCAGTCTCACTTCCCCGACGTGGGCCGTACCAGCCCCCCGGCCCGCTCCTTGGATCCCATGCATGCATGCTGCTGCTCGCTTCGTACACTATACCGCCCGCGCTACAGAAGCAACAAGTCGGTCGAAACGACTTGTCGGGCGAGCCTGAACCTGCCTTGTCCCGGTGGGTGGGAAAAGGGTTTTGATGACAGCCCATGTCCGTCCGTCGCCTGTCACCGCCATGTCTTACTCTCTCTCTCTCTCCCTCTCTCCCTCACTCTCTCGTCTGTCTCGTCGTCCGCAGGCAAGTCTTGCTCAACCGATGGATGCTCTTCCTACCCTGACTTGGACCTTTTACAAGATAGATGCCCTCTTCTTCTTCTTTGGGTTGTGTTTCTTCTCTCGAGGATCGACCACGGGAATCCAGCGCTGAGCCACTTGTTTCCCCCCCCCCCCCCCAAATGAAATGAACCAGCCCAAGGCAAAGATCATCATTCATCACCCCTGGTCTGACCTGGCCTGGTTGGAAGGGGTGCGGGGATGAGCCCGTGGTTCTAGACCGACACAGCAGCATCTTGACTCTTTGAGCATGGCATGTGGCCGGCCCTGTTCCTCGCCCCAATATGATGCCGCTCTTCTCCACACCCCTCTAACTCAACTCGTCAATGTCAATGGCCGCTCGCCCGTTGCTAATTTTCCCTTCTGGTTGCTGGCCCGTTACGTTTCTCCTCCTCCCTCACCTCACCTTGTCATCGCTCATCGACAGACACACCCCCTGTTCCCCTCATTGCGACCCTGTCCCCCGTCGTGAGCTCGCATCTTATTATTATGTACAAGTGACCCCATACGACAAACAGCTAAAGTCCAAGGAACCACAGAGTCACCATTTCGCTTCTTCACCCCCTTCGAGAACCTGACGCCCCCTCCCCCCCCCCCCCCGCGGTACGTCTATGCGTCTGTACTTGGTACATACGTTGCCGGACGCTCTTTTATTTTATTATTTTATTTTATTTGTCTAGTTTTATTTTCATTCTTTTGCCCTTCTCGACTTGTTCATGCATATCCGGACCTACATCTGCTGCTTTCGCCGCCTGTCACCACCCATTTCCTTCCATCTTGTGCACCTTCGTCTCTTCGTGTGCTGGATTCACCAAACCTAAACGACATACATAGTCCATGCCACCTAACGCCACGCGCATCAACCAAACCTTTCTAGAAGACGACCAATTTGGCCATCAGCACTTTCTCGTGGGCTCCCTGTTGTACATACGCATCAAGGCTCCGTCCGTCTCCACGCGATTTCCCAGCTAGGATACGAGAGAGACGTTGGGAGAAGGGGATTCGAAGGAGGAGCTCGACATCAGCCAGATTCGACGACTGTCGGTCTCGCATTCACCACCGTCCATCGCCTTGAGAAACCCAGCCGCCGTTCCTCGGCTTGAGAGCCATCTTGAGGCTGCGGCCGGGCACACTTTACCAACCCGTACAAAGAGAGAGCAGGGCGCATTTTGTCCCCACCCGCAAAGCTCGAGGCGAAAAAGACGAGGACCATAGCGAACGGTCCATATCCTCGGAAGCCTCTCTGCAACGAGCCGTCGAGAGATACGAGAGAGACTCGAGGATCGAGGTTGGTCTCTTTTCACCCGGCATTTTGTTTTCTTTCCCCCTTCCCTTCCAGATCCTCCGTCGCTTCATCTCCCCTCCTTTCAGCATGCTGCTGCTGCTGCTGCTGGGCTTCTTCGGTTCCCCTGTCACTTGTCCCGTCTTTACCCCGCAATGTCTTGGTGTTGTTTGGTTATTACTGAGTCCGTCCGCTTCTCGGCTCGGCTCGTATACTAAGAAACACACGCTCCACGCCCGCCCGGTTTCTTGATTCTGACCCCCAACCCGCCTCGGCATCGCTAATCAGACGACGCAGGAATACATGCACATTGTCCTCAACCGGCGTCACGGAAAAAAGAAAATACTAGGCATCTACCTGACTACCAGCGGTCCCCCAGTTTGGGTTACAGATCCCGCCAATCCCGACTTTATATGAACAGGTACAACTAGGTCCTCGCGGCTCGACCAACATCTTCACCATTCCGTCTATATACCACCGCCAACGAAACGGCCTTGGTCCCAGCGCAAGGAAGACGACATGTTGTCCAACCCGCTCCACCGATTCTCGCCCTATCACGGCGTGCAGTCCAGCGCCCTCTTTTCCAACGCACACGTTCCGAACGGCCATTCTCACGCCAACGGGCTTGACCCGCTTGCGCCCAACTCACACTATGCCCTGCAACAGCTCCAACAGCATGTAGGGGCGCACGGCAGCAACCCTCATCTCGCCCGCGGGACGCCTCAGTCGAAGCATCGTCAACACCCCTACGGCCCAGCAGCCCGGTCATCGAGCGCTTCCGGGCCCATCCGAAGGAGGATCAGTCGAGCCTGCGATCAATGCAACCAGCTTCGCACCAAATGCGATGGGCAGCACCCTTGCGCCCACTGCGTAGGTAAGTATACGGTCGTCATCAAACCGTCGAGCCAAGAGGGCATGTTCTGACTTGGGCGCGTCCGCAGAATTCGGGCTGGGTTGCGAGTACATCCGCGAAAGGAAGAAGAGAGGAAAGGCGTCTCGGAAGGACCTCGCGGCGCAAGCCGCTGCGCAAGCCGCGTCCGGAGGGCCGGGCCAGGGTCATAAGTCGCCCTCTGACGACAACGGCCCCCCGTCAGAGCAAGGCGAGTCTGCCAGCGTCAAGAACGGGCAGTCCTCGGCCAACGAATCGCAGCAAAACCACGGCGGAAAGGTCATTGACGAGCTTAGCGACGATGCCATGCAGCAACACAGCCAGAGGACGGGCTCGCTCGACAGCCTGGGAGACCTGGCTGGCGGCCATCCGCCTCACTTGTCGACTCACCACGGCATGGACAGGGACCACATGGAAAGTCCGACGGCCATGGATCTGAACGGTTACGGCGGCGTCCATGGGGGGTACGACAGGCAAAGTCTGGGCGCGCACATGATGTCGGGGCCGTCCCACGCCGCCTACGCCCCCTCCCAGAGCGGCATGTCGGCGTATCCCGAGATTCCCTATGCCATGCAGACCCAAAGCCCGACCGCCTATGCCAACAGCGCGCCGTTCCGGATCGCCGCCAGCCCCATAAGCGCATATCCCTTGGGGGCCGAGGCGACGTCTCCCGAATGGATATCCATGTCACCCCCGCCGCCGGCGCAGTATCCCTCCTCCTCCCACATCCCCGCGAGCGGCTACGGGCACGCCGCCAAAAAGCTGCGATATCCTGTGCTGCAGCCCCTGCTGCCCCATCTGGGGAACCTCATCCCGCTGTCCTTGGCCTGCGACCTGATCGACCTCTACTTTGCGTCGTCGTCGTCGGCGCAGATGCACCCAATGTCGCCGTACGTCCTGGGCTTCGTCTTCCGCAAGAGATCCTTTCTCCACCCGACCAAGCCGAGGCATTGCCAGCCCGCCCTCCTGGCCAGCATGCTCTGGGTAGCCGCGCAGACCAGCGACGCCCCTTTCCTGACCAGCGTGCCGTCGGCGCGTGGCAAGATTTGCCAGAGGCTGCTGGAGCTGACCGTCAGCCTGCTCAGGCCGCTCATCCACACACCGTCGGGCGACACGTCCCCCGTCACCAGTCCCGTCATCGACGGCGTCGCGCTCGGCGGTCTCGGCGTCGCACTTCCCGGGTCCATCAGTATGGATGCGTTGTCGGGCGAGTCCGGGCCGTTTGGTGCTGCCGGGAGCCTCGACGACGTCATCACCTACATCCACCTCGCCACCGTGGTTTCCGCAAGCGAGTACAAGGGCGCGAGCCTTCGATGGTGGAACGCGGCTTGGTCGCTCGCTCGCGAGCTGAAGCTCGGCCGCGAACTGCCGCCGACGCCGACCCTCTCCATGAGCCAGCCCAACGGCCACGAAGCCGACGGCGACGTTGATGGCGAAAGCGAGCTGGGCGTGAGCACCCACCCGGGCGCCATCACCGAGGAAGAGCGCGAGGAACGCCGTCGGATATGGTGGCTTGCGTACGTCGTCGACCGGCACCTGGCCCTCTGCTACAACCGGCCCCTGTTCTTGCTCGACCTCGAGTGCGCCGGGCTGTTGCAGCCGATGGACGACACGGCATGGCAGAACGGGGAGTTTCGCCCCACCACCCACAATGTCACGACGGATCCGAGCCTCAGGGACTCGACGACGACGACGACGACGACGACGACGACGGGGGGCCAGCAAGGCCGCGTACGCGGGCCGCACTTCGAATGCACGGGGCACAGCATATTCGGGTACTTCCTGCCCTTGATGACGATCCTCGGCGAGATCGTAGACCTCCACCACGCCCGGAACCACCCGAGGTTCGGGGTCGGCTTCCGGTCGGCGCGCGAGTGGGACGACCAGGCCAGCGAGATCACGCGGCACCTCGAGGCGTACGAGAAGAGCCTCAGGCGGTTCGAGCAGCAGCACCTCACGCGGCCCAGCATGAACCTGGACGACAAGGGCGACGTGGCGAACCCGGAGGGCGTGGCGGAGCACGGCGGCGGCGGCGGCGGCGCCATCGCCGACATTGGGACGCCGTCGGTGCACTCGGTGCACACCAACGCGTCGAACCGCATGACGGAGAGCGACATCCAGACCAAGATCGTCATGGCGTACGGCACGCACGTCATGCACGTGCTCCACATCCTGCTCGCGGGCAAATGGGACCCCATCAACCTCATCGACGACAACGACCTGTGGATCTCGTCCCAGGGCTTCATCACCGCCACCGGCCACGCCGTGTCGGCCGCCGAGGCCATCAACAACATCCTCGAGTTCGACCCGGGCCTCGAGTTCATGCCCTTCTTCTTCGGCATCTACCTCCTGCAGGGGTCCTTCCTCCTGCTGCTCATCGCCGACAAGCTGCAGCTCGAGGCGTCGCCGAGCGTCGTCAAGGCGTGCGAGACCATCGTGCGGGCCCACGAGGCCTGCGTCGTGACGCTCAACACGGAGTACCAGGTAAGCTTTCCCCCTCCTTTTTACGTGTGCGTGTGTGTGTGTGTGTGTGTGAGAGAGAGAGAGAGAGAGACATTGGGGGAACCAGGTGTGCTGATTCCTCGTGCGCAGCGCAACTTTAGCAAGGTTATGCGAAGCGCCCTGGCGCAGGTCCGCGGCCGAGTGCCCGAAGACCTCAACGAGCAGCACCAGCGCCGGCGGGAGCTGCTTGCTCTGTACCGCTGGACCGGCGACGGCACCGGGCTGGCCCTATGAGCCAAGGAGGGGCCCGGCGTGAAGCCTTCCTCTCCCGACCTCCAGGCATTGTGGCGACCATACAGACGCACGATTGGCGCTTAGAACAAGGGAAAAAGGATCTTTTATCAAAAGAACGATAAGGGACACGGTACGGATACACAAAGGACGGGGAAAGGGGGGTTGGCTCATCATATCTATCCTCTTCCGAGGCGGGCCCTACTGAGCCATGGGAGACGGGGAGGGTGCCCAATGAACGCAGCAGCTTTACTGGGAAATCCAGGTTTCCGCGGGCAAGCGATCTTTTTTTTTAAAAAAAAAAAAAGAACAAAAAAAAAACGTAAAAGAAGAAACCACCACACCGGAGGTGAGTGATGGGGTAGAAGACAAGACCGTTTGGGTGGCTTGGGTGGAAAGGAAGAAGGGTCATTCTTCTTTGGAATTCATATCATGGCTTGTGTGTGTCGGGGGGGTGATTTATATATACCTTGGGTCTGTTTTTGTGTTATTCTTCCGGAAATGGAGGGGGTAGGTTTTGGGTTTTTCTTGTCAATATTGGACTCTTTTGGTGTTGCACGAGGGGTTGGGAGGGGGGGATAGGAAAATGGTGGCGAGGACGAATCCATGAATTTGATGGCAGGGATGAGACGGAATGTGGTTATTTTATTTTATTGGATTCATGTACATAAGTGACGTTTTGTCTGACGAGGAAGTAGACCAACAGAGATCAGATCCCGTGTGTCCGTCGAGTCGGCCATGTGTCTGTCACCTTTACGCTCCCACTGCTCTCGTTTTATCTTTTCCTGGTGTTTGCTTCACGTGGGTGTAGTGAGCCGTCAGGGATGTTGGACGGTGATATGTTTCTTCCTCCTTTCTCTCGTTTCCTCTCCCCCTCTCTCTCGTTCTGGCCAGGTATTCAGACAGACTGCATGGTATCCGTCCAGAAGGCTGCTCATATCTGGTTGAGTGGAAGGGGATTCCATTACACCCCTTGCTGTCCTGTGCCGAGCGTACGGTATAGACCGCCGGTAAAAATAGATAAAATAGAAGCTTGACGTGCCCCCTTAGCCAATCGCTCGTAAAACAACGCGCCGCCAGTGTCACCGGTGTAGAATGAAACAAAGCAACACGATGGGCCAACCCCTTAATAGACAGGCACGTTTACATCAAGACCAAGCTCCTCCTATCTTGCCCCCCTTGGAGTGCGAAGGCCTCGTAAATGAAGCAAGTAAGGCCGCCCCTCCTGCCCTCAATCCAGCCCCAGAAGCCAACCGTTGATGTTCAACGAGCTCAGCCCCTCGAAGCTGGGACTCAGTTGATCCTCGGACGAGTGCCTTTGCGCCTGCGACATCCCCTGGCCGCTTCTTCCCGCTCCGCCACCGCCGCCGGAAAACATGAATATCTGGTCCCCGGCGCCCGTCCGCATTACCGGCCCGGGCCCACAAGCGGACGTGGCCATGTTCCACGCTTCGAAATTTTGGTGCCACTTTGCGCCGTCGTTGAGGAACCAGTCCTGGTCGAGTCCCTGGAAGACCTGGACGGGTGCGATTTGCCGTCCGCTCGACGCGCCGGAGCGGCCGCTTCCCGACGGCGTGAGGTTGTTTTGCGGGTTTCCGTTCATTGCGTTGTATCGTTGCTGCTGTTGATACGTTGGGATCGACTGCGCCGGCCCCGCCTGCGCCCACCCGCCGAGCGAACTCTGTCCCGCGCCGCCACCGCCCCCGAGGAGCTGGTGCGACGACGGCGGCCTTGTGCCGCTGATCTCCCCCACTGAAGCGTTTGCCATGAGCAAGTCTGTCTGGCTCGGCGTCGCGCCCGCGTCGCCCGCGTGCGGTTGGGCGAACTGGTTCAGCGGGGGATACTGGTCCCCGTACTTCCGTGCTTCTGTCTCGGGTGAAACAGGCGGCTGCTGCTGCTGCGGCGGCGGCGAGGGCGACGTCATCACGTGGGAACACGGCGATGGCACGTCGGACGTGCTAAATGTGCCATACTTCTCGTCTGTTCGCTGCAGCACGGCCGAGGCCTCCTCGGGAAGCTCGACGTTCCACTTCCGCGCGAGGACGCTGATGATGCTCAGCGTGCGGCGCGCGCAGAGCCAGTCCTCGGCGATCTCCTCGAGGTGCTTCACGCCGTGGATGATGTCGCGCTTGGCCGTCTTCTCGGGCAAGTTGAGCATGTGAATGGTGCAGGCGCTGTGGATCATGTAGACGGCGATGTTGCAGATCTGCCGCAGGTTCCATGTCTTCTTGTAGAGGCGCATCAGCTTGGAGATGGCGCCCGCGTTGGCGGTGCAGATGCGTCGAGGCGAGACATGTGAGGGGAGTGGGGATGCGGCAGGGGTGTATTTCAGGAAGGGGCGGAAGAGGTGGATGTATTGAAGGTGGAAGAACATGCTATGAGCGAATCAGCCGGGGACGGGTTCACACGAGCACCATGAGTGATACTCACTGTACGAGGATCACGTTGGGTAGTTGGCCATCCTTTGGTTCCAGCTCCTTTGGTAGCTCCTTTCGCCAATCCTCCAGCCTCCTGTGCAGCTCGCTGAGCTTCTTCAGCTCGACGGACTTGCCGCTTGAGCGTCCGATATGATTTGGATGGTAGAAAAACAATAGTAGGTCGCTACTGATCTCGCACAGCTTGGACAGCTGCAGCCCAATGGCGCGCGTCCTCGACGGCTGTTTTAATGTCTGGTCGAAGCCTGCGTCTGTGTATGGCGACCACAGCTCGGCATCCTCGCCGGGGAAGACATCGTACTTTGGCACGTTGTACGAGTTCTTGGGTATCTGCGGCAGCCTCCCGAGATAATTGGACCATGCCTTGTCGAAGAGGAAGCAGCCCCAAAAGGTCATGCGCCTTGCGTCGACGGCATGCTCGCCGAGGTTTTCCTTGTCCGGAGACATGCCTCCGTCATCAAAGTTGAGACCAATGTCCTGGGCCATGCGGAAGGCCATGCCCGAGTACACCCAGCCCTTGGCCTCACGACCGCAGCCGGCCTCGCGGACGGACATGAGGGCAAGGGCCTGGACTGTGGTGAGGCGGGGTCGCTCATACTCGTCGTTTTCGACGATGAGGCGCTTCGCCTCGGCGAAGAAGTGGTCGCCCTTGGTTCGACTGTCGCCAGGGGTGCCAAAGGCCCCCGGCACGCTCGTGAAGTGGCATCCGAGTGCCAGCATGGCGTTGACGAGTAGCGACGAGCAGTATACGGTGCGCCCATGTTGCAATTTGTGCTTCCCTCCCAAGAAGTCGCGGTAGAATAGCGTCTTGGATAGTGTGGTAAAATAGGTGTAGTGCCAGTTGAAGTACATGTTCATGAGGTGAGCGATGAGCTCCTTGTCATCGGTGACGCGGGTCCAGCTGGTGATGGGATCCTCGTCAGCGAGGTTGGCGTCCGACTCTGGCTCGTTGATGGCGGGGTCGGCGGGGTCGCCGAGGTAGATGAGGTGCGAGGTGCCGCCAATGAAGCGTACTGAGCCGTTCTCGAGGCGCAATTCGCCCATTTTGCGGGCAAGTTCCCTCTCGCCCTCAATAGGCATGTCGTCGGTGTAGCCGTCGTCGCCATTGTCGTTGTCGTCGGCCTCCTGAAGCATGGTCTCATGCTTGAGGATCTGCTCGGCGACGGTGTCGAGGCTGTCACAGGTGCGGATTCTCTTGACGATGTCAGGGACCTCGTCTTCGTTGGCGTTGAGGATGGCCTCGATGAGGATCTGCAGGGTCGAGTTCCGGGCCTTCATGCTATCAATCTTTTCCCGGTAGACGCCCTTCCGGCGGTGGTCCGAGTTCGGATCATAGACGCACTCGGTGCCGTAGACGCTGGCGCAGGCGGCGCAGCTGGGCATGGCGCCATCGCATTTTGATTTCCTCCGACGGCAGGCGATGCAGGCGGTGGATACACAGCGTCGCTTTTGTGACGCCGAGTCGCCGCGTCTCCGCGACGACTTCTTCTTGCCGTTGGGTTGTAGCGCAGAGGAAGAAGAGGAAGAAGGGTTTTCGGGAGGGTGAGTGAGTGAGCCGACGGAGGTGGACAGATCCTGGTCGTCCATAATGAAACAAGACAAAAGCCTCTTTTCCCGTTGCTCCCCGTTTCTGTTTCCTGTCGACCTAACGAAAGAGACGAAAAAATTGGAGGGGGGAACCGGAGATGCTGGGCTCAGTCTAGGCGTGGTTCGCGGAGATGTGGGAATCTGTGGATGGGTACTCCGTACAGGATCCTTGGGGGCGAACGGAGTGGACGCCGGCGGCAGGGCGAAGAACAGGTGCGCGCCCCACGGGGTCAGACGCACACAAGATGTCTACCTACCACAGTGTGCGTGCGTGAGAGTGTGGAAGCGGGGGGGTAAGTGAAGCGATGATGCCCCGCGTTGCCGATGAGGGGCCCAGACGAGAATAGACCACCAGACTAGAGTGGATGACAGGGTGAGAAGCAAACGAGGAGGCGGGGAGAGGGAGGGGGCTGTACAACATTTGCTGCGGGCGTCTGTCTCACAATAACCTTCCCTCGGGCCACCTTGTCGATGAGAGTACCTAGAGTAGGTAGGTAGGTAGGTACACTACCCTGTCGTCGAGATAAAGACGCGGGCGGCGATTGGGCGCGCAGGGATGCCGCGTGCTGGCGCCAACGTTTGATGGCGATGTGGTTGAGAGAGGGAGATAGATGGACAGACGATGCTAGCAAAGTTAACCAATAGGCCACTGCTGATTCGACAATGGCCGGATGACTGTACGTATATATGACGGCAGATGGAAAAACTAGTAAAACCCGCCGAGACGTGCTGGATGGAAAAGGAAATCATCAGAACATATGGTCTCACGAGGGGAGATAAGCCGAATGAGACTAATCGACTGGGACCCCGAGACGAAGAATGAACACTTGCAAGTTGCAAGTCCTTTTTTGGGGGACAAGTGATACGCATGAGATGGATGGATGGATGCCTTTCTCGGTATTGCATGCGCTGTTACGGATACTTGCATATGTTACGTAAGGTACAAGAAAGGAACGGTTCTTGGCCAAAGCGGCAGTCAGGCAGAGACAAAGCAGCGAGGGCTGCTGCTGAGGACTACCTAGGCTAGGTAAGTCATATTGGTACACAAAGGATTCGCGGTGGGTGAAATTAATGATTTGATGCAGCTCGAGTAACGAAGTTGAGGGTTAATGCTCTCTACCTTGGTTCCGATTGTGTGTACGGATATATATATGTATATGCATATGTATATGCGTACAACAACTGCCTTGATTCCCTCCAGTAACAAAGTAGTGTTTGAATAGTTTGGAGTAACAATGGAACGGATACGGGGAGAGTGAAAAACTGTGGAATGGTTCGTTCCTTGGTTGATTGCGTTTCCTCTCCTGTCGTGCCGAAACTCCGTGTGCCGAAACTCCGTGTGCCGTCAACTGGGGACGGGCGAGAACACCTCCGCGGCCCGTCGCCGCCCGAATAGGAACCGGCAGCGAGGAAGCAACCTTGTCGTGATGCTGCGGACCAGACAGGCGAGGTGGGGGCTAGTACTTTGTCCGTAACGACTCGACGAGCAGTAGGTATTCTAGGCAGTTTACTAATATACCTACACAACCCAGCGGCCATAAGCAGGAAGAGCCTCACCACACTTTCGTGCCACCTAGGTTGTCGCTCGTCCACAAAGTCAGTCTCTCTGGGTTATGGGTACTCCGGTACTCCTGTACTCGGTATGCTTTGTATGTAATACTCTAGGTAGGCAGGTAGTGAGTGTACGATGTACTACACATGTATTTGTGTAGCTAAGCTAGATAGGTACTTATTCTATATTTAGTGCACTCAGTACGTACCTCGATGCAGGACAGCTCGGGATTTAAGGTATCACTAACCGATGCACAGGCCATCTCCTCCCTACGAACCCACGAACAGTCCCCCCCACCCTGGCAACTCCCACCAGAATCCCATTTCCAGGTTTCCCCTCCCCCGCACCTCGCTTCACTCATCCCTTCTCGACGCCTTACCCATCAACATGCAACAATCCGCAACTGCGCCTTGAACCGCCATCTATTGTTCCGTCATTCCGTCGTCCGTTCGGCCAAGGGAAGCACACTCCGAGTCTCCATCCCCGACCTCATCGTGTTTCGATAGATCTCGGTTTTGGCCCTCCCATAGTGTGTTCTGGTCTGGAAAAGTCGAGAGAGCAAGTTGTTGCTTTCAAGGTATGGCCACTGTCACCGGCATCCGAAACTGAGACGTGCTTCATATCTACCTATCACACACCTAGAGACAGAAAATATAAAAAGTTGGAGCAAGTCGGAGCTGCTAGCTGCTAGTGTTGCAAACCAATCCAATGGCTGAGGTTCTGACCATTCTAGAGGTCGCTCTCTGTATCACCGAGGTCGTCGAGCGTCTCTGCGTCTACGTCTCCACCGCCAAGAGCGCCAAGGATGATATTCGCAAGCTCACCCAAGAGCTGCTTGCCCTCAAGGGCGCCATGGACTACTTTGATGCTCAGAACAAGAAGGACGTGGACAGTTCGCTGCAGGAACAGGCCCACTCCATGCTTACCATGGCCAAGGAGACTATTGATGCCGTGCAGCAGAAGCTGGGCACTCCCAAGGCTTCCTCCGTTGGCCGCGCCGTCCAGAGCTTAGCTTGGCCCTTCCGCGCCGGTGGCCTTGACAAATATCTCGTAACCCTGGAGAGGGCCAAAACCTGGTTCATCATGGTGCTCATGCGAGACTCGCTAGACGCCACTTCCTCGGTCTTGGTCGAGATGCAGAAACTCACCGCCCTCATCCACGAGGAAATTATCACTCGCAACACCGACCGGATGCTCCAAGAGACGGCCGACCTGCTCAAGTGGCTGTCACCCGTCGATAGCGAGGACAAGCTAGCCAGCTCCAGGGAAGACCGTGCGCCGGGAACCGGAAATTGGATTCGCGACCGCAGCTATCTGGCATGGCAGAAGGACGGTCCGACGCAACAGCCAATCTTCTGGATCACCGGGCGGTGTAAGTCTTCCGGTCCACTCGGCCCTTACTCGTGTTCCTCCGTTCTTTGCGGTGGTGAGAAGCCGGCTTGGCAGATGAGCTAACAGGGGCCAGCGGGCTCGGGCAAAACGGTACTGTTGTAAGAGGATCCCCCATTCCAACGTTTTCTGTGTGCCTCGCGCTTACAGACTCTACATAGTTCTCATCTCGTTGACGAACTCCGGAAACGATCCAGTGCCGATCCCTCGGCCAAAACTGCCAGTATTGGCGTGGGCTTCCACTGTTGTTCCCTGGACGACGCAGCCTCTCAGGCCGTCCCAAACGTCTTCGGATCCATTCTGGCCCAAATAGCGACGACGACACCCGAAATTTTCGACTGCGTTCGGCCGCTGAGAAAGTCTGGAAGTACGCTGATTCCTCAAAACAACTTGACTGTCTATCAGATCTTGGATGTTATGCGCGAAGCCCTCAACCATTTCCATGTCTTTTATCTCATGATCGATGCACTCAATGAAACGAGCCATGAGCTGCTGATCGTCCGAACACTGCTGACCCTGTGCGGCAAGCACCCCAACCTCCGCGTTTTGCTTACTTGTACAAGAGAGCCCCTGGAAGATGACTCGAGGATATTTGTTAGGCACATGAACAACAACGCAGTTGATGTCGACATTGACCTTTATGTGGAAAACAGGCTTGCTACCGAGCATGGTTTCCAGTCTTTGAGTCCCAACATCAGGGCGGAAATCAAGAGGAAGGTCGCGTTAGATGCTGATGGAACGTAGGTGTTTCTCGCGAGTTCGTTGAGCTCGTTCGCTACTGACATGGCGTTAGTTTCCGTTGGGCAAAAATGTGCATGGACAGACTCAGCACGCTCCGTACCGGACGAGACGTCCGAAGAGCAATGGCAGACATCCCTTCCACCCTCAATGAGTTCTACGCCGGCATCCTCGCCCGGATCTCGGAGCAAGACCGGGCCATAGCCCGCGAGGCGCTTACGTGGCTTTGCTTCTCCCTCTGGCCCCTGCGTCTCGACGAGCTCGCCGAGGCAGTCGTCCTCGAGGAGGGTGACGTCGATGTTGATGGAGACAGCAGGCTGACCGACCCGGCCATCGTACTCGAAATATGCCAGGGGTTAGCGCACGCGAGCGACCACTCCGTCACCCTTGCCCACGACTCCATCCGCACATTTTTGCAGTCAGACTGGATCCGGACCTCCATTGCCTCAGACTTTGCCTTGGACGCCGCGGAGTCGCATCGCAGAATTATGCGCAAGTGTCTCTCCTACCTTCATCTCAAGCCCTTCTCTTCAGGTCCAGTCAAAAAGATCGAGCGAATCACCAGCCGCTTTTATAAGTACCCGCTGCTCAGATACGCCACCTTCTTGTGGCCGATCCACTTGGAAAAGTTCCCGTTATCCAGCCATGACGAGCACCTCATTCTCGGCTTCTTCGAAACCAAGAAGCTCGAGCATGGTGGCCCTTTCGAGACGTGGGTGCAGTGTCTCCTACACTCAACAAACATCCCCGTCATTCGCGAAACGGAACCGGTCTATTACGCGGCGTCTTTCAACATGACGTCCGTTCTACAGTTGATACTGCGACCCGAGTACAAGGTCAATGTCAACAAACGAGGTGGACGGTTCTCTTCCCCGCCACTGTTCGTGGCAATCTGGAGGAGAAACGTGGAGGCGGCCAAGTTGCTCGTCGAAGCCGGGGCAAATCCGGATATGACGGATAGTGGCGGGATGGGGATGACTAGCCGACAACTGGCGATCAGATCGAAAATGAACGAGCTTGTAGATCTGATGGAGCATATTGTTCCGGAGGCATCAGTCGGGACTGCTTACAGGCAGCGGAAGTCTTCGAAGCAGCTAGCGTGACGCCATTATAAAGCAATAGCCATGGTGATAAGAAACCCGAATCGTAAAATTCGTCGGTCAACTCAGGGCCAGTTGCCCGCCCGGCCCGTGGGTAAGGAGGTGCCGACAACGGCATGACAACCTTGCGCCCATGGCTAAAGGATTGGGTCAAATTGCCAACCCATTACCCAGAGAAGTTTGGTAGTCTGGGACTACTCACACGTTGTCCTTTCCGAGTCAGTCTAACAAGGAGTGGATAGCAAACTTTGTGTAGAATGTACGTAGTACACTATCATAGGTCAAAAGCTACCAAGCTATCGAATCAGCCACCCCAAGCCACACTATGAGAGCTGATAGTGAGAGATGGCGCACCGCCACACCGAAGCCGGTGGAAGGGGATAGGCTCTTAAAAGTGGGAACATGAATTTCAAATGCCGTGACCGTGGTTCCAGCTGTCCCTGCCCATTGGCGTAGGATGACTAAGGTAAGGCCGACCGCCGATTGATGCTCCCCACCACGAACGTCATGCATTCCGGTTGGTCCCCGAGAAAAAGATACCTATCTATCCGTACCTTACCTACCTATTCCTCACCACATCACCCATATGGCTCCCCTCACCCCCCAGCACGACACCGTAACGCGTGCGCTTCTGCTTTTCGTTTGGTAACCTGCATCACCTTTAATAGCAAGCTTTCTCTATCTATCCCGACACGTTGCCACCCTCCCCTTTTTCTATTCGCTTTCCCTTCCTACTCCGCATCAGCGACCGACGTCTTTGCTCTCGTTGCACTTGTTGGAGATATGCACCTTCTCCATCCACAGTACATGGCTTAGCTTAGGTACGTCCCTAGTGACCTTCAGGCATGTTGCGCAAGCAAGTGACCGTTGTCGTCACGGAATACACACCGAACCCAGACACGGAGGACACACAAAGGCAGCATCCCATTCATCTTATTGGCTGCGCCTCTCGTACGTTTTGAATCTAGACGGTGGTTACTGACATTTGTGGTCACCCCAGGCTTCCCACCTCATCATTCCTCGCCTTTTATACCTACCTAGCTACCTACCTAATCCACACTAGACTTTCGTGCTGCACCTTCCGCCCGCTCTCCGCCGATAACGAACAGTCGATCCCCAGTATCGACCCGGCTGACGTCTGCGTTCTCCATCAACAGCCAGTTTTCTTTTCTGCTGGCAGCAGCTGTCGGGCGTCATCCGCTGCAAGGAGAGGGTATCCATCACTGCAGTTATCGACATTACAACGTATCGGGCTGCCGACGCCAGAGCATCTCGAGCCTCCACCATTTCGCTACAGCGCGGCATCATTCAATACCTCTTGCCACCTAGCTTGACCCCAGCACATCATTCAGACTGGCGTTCCGAGCACTTCGCGCCGCCGGCCTCGCTGTAGGCCTTGGACTCACCGCCCTCGCAGCCTATCAGCGCAACCAGGCCGAGATGGAATCCCACAATACCAGAGGCGGGCACCTGGATGCCACGGCTGGCCGGGAGGTGGTCTTCTGCCATGCCTGCTCACACGAGTGGTGGGAAGACGAGCATGGTCTGCAGTGCCCTCGCTGCGAGAGCGAGATCACAGAGATTGTACGTTGCACCACCACCACCCCGCATCACAAAAACTCGCCATGCAGGCTAACAACGGCCCAGGTCTCTCCCGAGAACGACCCCAGGGAAATCGAGGACGGCCCCCCGCTTCACGGCTCTCCGGGTCATATAGGCAGATATGACAACGACTCGGATCCTGAGGAGGCCGACATAGAAGAGCACCTGCACCGTGGTCCTGGCGGCTTTGTCGTTCACCGAACAATATGGGACAATTCCCACCGGCCGGGACAGAGCCCGAACCCGAACACACGCCAGCCCGCAGATGCGAACGATGGCGACCAGATCATCCGGCGTTTCATTGACATGGTCAATGACTTTGGCATGGGTACGCCCCCACGCCCGCCGCCCGAAGAAACTCGCCCCCCTGGAATTGGTGGTATTCTCTTTGGTGGTCAGGGCAACGTGCGCACCTACCACAGAGCAGGCCCTGGAGGCACCACAAGCTTCACGATCGCTACCGGTCCCATCCACTTCCATCAAGGAGGCGGCCACTCCCCTGTTGGACCTGGAAGCGATCCCTTTCAGTCGTACGTCCGCCTCAGCCCCCGCGCCCAGCCGCCATCTGGACCTCGAATCACGGTGGTTTCCATCGGCGCGAACGCTAACCAGCTTCCCAGTATCTTCAGCAGCGTCCTGGCCGGAGCAGGACCGCCCCAAGGTGAAGGTATGCCAGGTCCTGGTCAGGGCCAGCGGGCACCTGGTGGAGCGCCTACGCTTCTTCATGAGATTCTCAACATGCTCAACCCGGCCAACGCCTCGCACGGTGACGCCGTATATACCCAAGAGGCCCTGGACCGCATCATTTCTCAGTTGATGGAGCAAAACCCTCAGAACAACTCTGCTCCCCCGGCAACTGAAGACGCGCTTAGCAAACTGCAACGCAAAAAGGTGGACAAGGAGATGCTAGGCACCGACGGCAAGACTGAGTGTACCATTTGCATCGACGATTTCAACGAGGGCGACGAAGCCACGGTGCTGCCCTGCAAGCACTGGTTCCATGACCAGTGCGTCGTCATGTGGTTGAAGGAGCACAACACGTGCCCGATCTGCCGCACTCCTATCGAGGAGCCCAGCAACAGCAGCGGCGGCAACAGGAACAATGCCAATTCCAATGCAAGCGGTTCACACAACGATCCGAACGCCAATGCTTCTCAACGTGCGCACACTGCGGCGTCTGGCTCATCGGACAGCTCACACCACCCCTTTGATTGGGGCGACGCGCCTCCTGGAATTCCTGGTCATTGGGGAGCAGCAGCCTATCCTCCCCGCCCTTCATTCTTTCAGCAGGCACCGCCAGTCCCCGAGGATTCCACGCGGCCCCAGAGATCGCCCATAACTGAGTGGGGTGTGCCCTTTCCCATCTACGGAGGGTCCAGCACAAACAGACAGGACCCTCATAGCACGGATCTGCCCTCGCGTCCCCATGAAGACGCCCGATCCTCCAGCTTTCGCTCCAGACGGGACTCACATTCGCCCTCTAGCCTTCGCCGGCGCCAGTCAGATTCGTTCCGAACTAGGCAACGGAGCCCGTCGTCTGGTAACTGGGACAGAGATCGTGACAACAACCAGGACGCGGGTTCAAACCACGGTCCGCTGAACTGGCTGAGAAACCAGTTCTTCCGAGGACCTGGTTCAGGCGACAACAGCAGCAACAACACACGAGAGCGACGGAGACCTTAGTCCTGTTGAAGTGGGTCTCGTACGGATTTCGGGGCGGATCGCGCACGCAGTTGGAAGGTGTCTTGCAGATGAAGCCTAGGGCGGGAGGGCGGCAAGTAACGAATTACGAAGAGGGTTTGATGGCGTTTAGCATTGGTCATCCACGAGGGTATCCTCCTTCACGCAGTCCACGTTTCGGGCACATTATATCACGAATACGGGACGTGCATTGTGTAAATAACAAGACAGTCAGTCACACAGAAAAGCAGCTGGGTATTCCTCAGCCAATGACGACCAAGGCTGGACAGGATAATACCCCATATCGCAACCGGGGCATGAGCCATGATAGTTTATCGAACTGATGTGTCTAGCCGTGACCCTCCAGACCCATGTTAGTAGCTTGGATCCGGCATCTTATTTTGACATGCATCAAACCCTCTCCGATCTTGGAAAGGGGCGAAACAGCCATCTTGCCGCAGACGGGCACTGCAGCCTGAGCGGAGAAGTTTCTGGGATGACGGACCTGACGGGAAGTAGGTAGGTAGGTAGGTAGGTAGGTAGGTAGAACAGAGTTGTGTATACGCCTATTACACCGAAGAAGCCCGATTTCATGTCTCCACATACAAATACACATTACCGAAGAGGATGAAGGGGAGGGGAGGGGTTGCTTATCAAGTGCACGTTGCAACACACCAAAACCCCCTTCTTTCCTCGCTGCGTCTCGCTCCTTTTCGTTGATCTGCATCGCCCGTCCCCACTACTCCTCTCTCTCACACACACACCCTCTTTGCCGGCGAGACTCCAACAGTCCGCCCCATCCCCCTCTTCACAGAGTTCCCAGGACCATGGCCACTCGGGACGGAAATACCCCCTTCACCTCTTCTTGACATTGCGCATCAGGAAGGCGCCCACGACGCCGGCGGCGACGGCGACGCCGCTGATGATGGCGACGCCCATCAGGCCCTCCTTGGCGACCTTGTCGTCGACGAGCTGGCGCAGGTTCGAGGCCTGCAGGTTGGCAGGCTCCTTCTCAAGGAGCAGATCGTTGTAGCGGCGGGCCTCGGCGTAGTTGCCAAGCTTGTAGTTGCCGAGGGCGAGGTAGTAGAGGCACTCGCGGCGGCGCTCCGGGGAGATGCGGAAGATCTCGGACAGCAGGCGGACGCCGAGCTGCTGGTCGTTGCGGGACTCTGATTTCACGAGGCCCTGGTTCCGGGTTGAAAGGAGTTAGCCAAAGTGTGACAGCTCGGGGGGTTCCGTCACGGCGTGTGGGGAGAGAGGGTTTGTGGGAGGAGGTGGGCAGTGGGGGGCGGGGGACTTGTTCGTACCCATGCGTAGTTGAACTTGGTTTGCACACCGACCATGTCCCCTTCTTTCTCATACTGAGCGCGGAGGACCTGGAGCTCGGATGCCTTGAGTGGCCTGCGGGCAAGGCGGTTAGTCGAACTATATGATATGATCGCCGGGGGAGGGGGGGTCCTGGCACGTACGTTTCCGCGTCGAGGGCGTCTGTGTCGGTGTGAAGTCAGCGACTTTGTCTGTCCGTCGGTCCATCGGCCTCCCACACTGCGAGGCCGGTTTGGAACGGGGAGGGTGTGTGGTGGTGGACTTACAAGGCAGATCGACCATTTTTGCGGTTGAGATTCTTCTAGTCCGAGTGTAGGCTACTGATTTCCTTTCTTTCTTCACCTCCTCGCTGTGAATAGATCTTTTTCTTTTCTGTCTCTTTTCACTTCTGGTCTGTTGAGAAGGTCCAGAAACAAGCACGGTTGAAGCTTTCGTCGTTTGTGGCCGGGTTCGTCGTGGGTTGTAGCCTAGATGTCAAGAGGCGGAAAAGGCGGGCTGCGCAACCTTTGTAAATGGGCAAGAGGCGGAGTGGCTGAAGCTCTGACATTTGAAGATCTCTGTGGGGTGGCGGATGACGACTGTACAGGCGCGCACGCGCCTGGCTGGAGTGGGTCCCGCGGTTCCGCGGGCTACTGAATGACAGTAAGACAAGGCACCTCAGCCGATTGTCGTCCCGGTGACAGCGGGTGGCACCCCCACCCGATAAGCAGCTTTTTGTTTGGTTCCGCGTCCGGTTTGGGGGGGTGGCCAATGGATCTTTTCCCGATGTTTCTGGTCCCATCCTACACCACAAGTCAAATCAAACCAAGACCTCTCGCGAATTCACAAAAGAGACACGACTCCAACGAACCGACGGAACCGACCGGCGAACTCTACCGCGAAAAAAAAAGAAGAAAAAAGACCCAAACAGTCCTACAACGGCACCGAAAAAGGGAAGTCGGCCAAGATGCTTCTAGCAGAGGAGCCCGCGACGGTACGTTGACCTCGGATTGTTTGGTTGTCACCGCTTTGGAGGGGGTTTGATGCTGACGATGACCTCGCGACACACTCACAGCTCATCCGTCACACAATCGACAACTTCAACATCCAACCGGACAAGCAGGCCGTCGCGCGCATCAATGAGTCCCTCTCGACCCTCCAGCAGGCCCGCGAGCTGCGCCTCCGCGAGGCCGAAAATGCACTCAAGAGTACGTCCCACCCTTCGACCCGACCCGACCCCCTCCTTCTCTTTGGCAGTGTTCTGCCAAACTCTCCCCCGTGAACCAGAAGAAGGGGGGGAGGGGAGGGGAAGCAGAGCAAAGCAAAGCAAACTTGCGAGAGCTAACAAGAACTCCTCCCCAGAACTCTCGCGCCAGCTCAACACAATGTCGTCCCAGCACGCCGAGCTCACCTCGCAGCACTCGTCGACGGCGCACGCGTCCGAGATCGCGCGCCTCGACACGACAAAGTTCCGCACCGCCAAGGCCGCCTCGGACGCCGAGATGGAGACGGAACGGCTCGCCCAGCAGGCCGCCGACCTCGCCGCGCGGCTGCAGGAGCTCGAGATCCAGGGGCTCGACGGCTCCGCCGACGACCAGGCCCGCCGCCGCGACCCCGTCGACGACGAGGTCCTCCTCCGCCTCAAGGTCTACCGCAGCCTCGGCATCGAGATCGAGCGCGACGGCCGCGACGGCGAGTTCAGCCGCGCCGTCGTCCGCAACGACCGCAAGGGCGACGTCCACGTCGTCAACATGGACAAGAAGTTTTCAAAGTTCTTTTACGCAAACTACTTTTGGCAGACGTTGTAGGCCGGGGTGTGTGTGTGTGTGTGTGTGTGGAAAAGAAAAGGGGGGGCCGGCCGGCGTGCCGTGCATGATTATGCTGTTGCTGTAGTCTTATTTGGGGGTAACGATGGCGTTTGGGTAAAGGGGGTCATTCATGATGGGATACCACGACTGCGAGACACAAGACACTTGTTTTATTTTCTTCACCTCAAACGTTTGATTCGCTTCATCAAGCGAACCAACTGTCCATTCCGCCACACGAGCTACGGTTATCACAGTGCAATCGGGGGCTAAGCGGCTTCGTCATTTTTACCGTCTTTTAGATTGATTGATTGTCCGTTTCGACTGTGGATGAGATGCGATGCAGCCAAAACAAAACGCCTTGTTGAGTCTCCCATAACCGATCCGTATCCGTCCGTTTCGCGCCCGGCTTTTCAGCCTGGCCGCATGTTTAATGCCCCTCCCATGTTTGCCGCAGGCCGTGCCTGTCATTGTGTTCCCTGATATTCTACGTCATGTTCCGAATCGCCTGGTTCGGGGAGGGAACAATCCATGCACTCTCCCATCTCCCAAGCCACGACTTACACAGGAAAGATACCTGAACAACTCGTTCTCTCTCTCTCTCACTCTTACACCGCCCCACCCTCCTCTCCCCCTCGCGCCGCCTCCCGCTTGTGACGGAAATTACTTTTCGTGGCAATCGTCGTGATGAGAGATTGGGGTATAAACCTTTTTCGGATTTTCCCCTCCTTTTTGCCTTCCTCGGATTTTTTGTTCCCTTTTCACGTCCATTAATGATAACTTTTGGCTTCATTAAGATGGGAAGCGTCTCTTATGCCACGGCGACTTTCCTCGCCGTCTTTGGCGACGACATGGATGGGAAGTAGTCTCCGTCAACGCCATCAAGCGCCGTAAAGGCGATATGGGAGTTTGTTGGTGTCCGCGCTCGGGAGCTGTTTGGCGACACAATAGTAGTGAAACCGCCCCGGTTGCTTTCCGGGCTGCGGTTACGGCCGCCCTTCATCATGAGGTAGCCCTCACCTCCGCCGGGAGTAGTAGGCCCGCCGCTGGGGCTCCGGTGGTGGTGCCGCTGGTACTGTCGGTCGGGCAGCTCGAGCCGCGAGTTGATGGTCATCCACAGCTCGTCGTCGTTACCGTTTCCTAGCCGCCAGCCGCCGACACCCTCATAGTCGCGGTCGATTCCGACGGAAGGGAAAAGGCCTAGCCCACCGGATTCTGAAATAGGTGTTATCGTACCGACGGAGACGGCGGATGCGGAGGACGGCCTTCTTGTGCGACGCGAGGCCGAGCGCCGGGTGGGTGTCAAGGACGGCGACGGGCTGCCGGACGTTGGGGACTTGGATGCATACGACAGGTACTGGGGACGACCGGTGATGTACGACGGTAGGAGAGACAGAGCGAGATCGAAGTAAACAAGTATTACCCGGAAGATGAGGACTGTAAAGGCGAGCGTTGTTGTGATGCCGGCGAATATGGCAAGCGGGACGGTGAAGAGGAAGAGGAAGGGCACAATAATGGCGTAGACGGGATTAATGAGACCCATGGTTGCGTTCGCAGTGCGGGAACAGTCGTTGCTCGGGGGAGGATTGCGCTGGGAGGTTGCTCGGGAGAGACGTCAGTTCACACCATCTCCCCGACGTGCTCGAGGCGTAAGAGTTGGATTGTTCGCAATTTATCTTGAGGTGAGATGAGGTGAGGTCAGGTGAAGCAGGCGAGGTCCCGGATGTGACGAGTGGTTCCCGGCGACCCGAGTCGTAGGATGCGCTCACAATCGTTCGGTCGGTGGTCCGATCGTTCGATACCGCAGTAATACCCAACCCGATATTGACTTCCCAAATATCTTCCAGCACACGGAGAAAAAGAGAAGCAGGAGGGAAGAAAAAAAAAAAGTGTGGTAGTATGGACGGACAGCTGGCGACGACTTTGTACAATGGAATGGTAAGCAACTAGAAGGGATGGGGGCACCCCGAAGTCAAAAGTCCGAAGGCATATCAGTAGTGGTGGAACGGGAGAGGCATGCTGAAGAGGATTGGATGAGACGGAGGGGAGCCGGGAGCGAACCTTCAAACCTTTGGCTCGTGGTGTACCGAGTGATAGCGCTGGAGAGGGAGAGGGAGTGGGAGGAGAGGAGAGGAGAGGAGAGGGGGGGGGGGTCGGTACTGGGTCTGAACCTCACCGGACGGAGAATAGGGTGTAGACAAACTAGCCGCCTGCAGTTGATAGTTTTGTTTCTCTCTTTCACATGCCCGAAGCTAGCGGCAGCCCACTAGCGCCGCCGCCCTTGTCCTGTCCGTCACGTCGGAGGGGTTCGACGCATTGTAACACTACATCAGTATGAGAAGAAAACTGGAGAAGCCGAGCTGGCTGGCCGCATTATCACAAGCTACAGGGTCTCTAGCCAGCACTGCGCCCGTTGCCAGTGGCTGGCCGATGATGGATGGAATGACGATTCGCCGAGCGCTCGTGCATCTCCCCGCAGGCTTGCGTGCGCTCTCCATGGCACCCAAAGGGTCGTTATTTCAAGCAGGCTTCAGGCCGTCCAATATCCGCTGTACGAATCATTATACCGCTGAGACAGCGGGCGGCGGCGGGGGTAAACAGAGTTTGTAGTTCCTGGACGAAGTGTCTTTCCATGTGAAAAGCGAAGTGTTTCTGGCTGACAGAAACGGTTGTGGGGAGGGGGAGGGCAAGCAGAAAACAGAGTTTGGCCGGGTGAATCAGCGTCGCGACTTATGCAACCCCCAAGAAGACATGCCCTCTCCAATCGCCAGCCCATTGCCCAGACAATGCGCCTCTGCTGGGCGAGGGTGGCTACAGAGAGGAGGGGGGTGGGCGCTCCGGACTTGGGATGGGGACGGTTTGCTGTGGCCTGTGGGTGAGCTGATTTGGGCCTGTTATCAGTTTCGTCCATGCTGCTGTGGGACCTCTTCTGATGGGGATGATGAATGCAAGTGCAACGACATCCGCGTCTGGTAGGCCGAGAGAGAGTAGATACTGCATACGTCGCTTAATGCCTATGCTCTCGGTGAAGTCAAGTAGACATCGCTCCGAAACCGTTGGTTTCGTCTCCACATCTTCCTTGCCGGGGACCCATAATGTGCGGAAAGGTCTGGGGACAAGTGCAAGGGAGAGGAACCCCGCTGTGAGAAGCCTACCAGTCAGGGCTTTTCAAGGACGACGACGAACGACCGTAGATGGATGGACCAACCAACACATCACTGCGCGATGGATGGGTGTTGCGTTCTTCGCACTGGAAGCAACGTTATGTGCGCGATGCGTTAGCCTCGTTGGCTAGGCTGTTTCCAGACATGGCAGGGTGGCAACGTGCGTATGAGTGTGTGTGCAGGGAGGGCAGTCGGTCAATGGCGGAGTGGTGAAAGCAGGCGTCAAATTTGGTCCGAAGTTGCTAACGGCGGACAGAACAGCAAGGACGAAACACTCGGTACAGGAGGTTGGCCTTGGAGGAAGCGAAGCATGGCCGCCTTGGAATCGTATCCAAGTCTGCCGCCCCGGGTTGACCCTTGACCAACAGGACAGCACAGCACACAACACGGAGATAGAGATGTTGAGGTTTCGGGGAGGAGGGAGGTAGGTAGATGGACAGGCCGAACCTAGATATGCAGGGAGATTAACAAGTTGCTGGGGTGCATGCGGGATGTCTCGGTCGTCAGTGTGTCGCGTCCACTTCTTCTCCAGACCCCATTGGGTTGTTGTTGTTGTTGTTGTTGTTGTTGTCTGGGGAGAGGGCTGTCAGTGTGTGGCATGGCAACATGGTGTGCGAGATTTCCCGTTCTCTATGCTTTCAAAGGCATCGTGGGCAGCGCCACTCTCCAGGCAGGCCGATCGCCAGAGCCGAAGCCAAAGCTGCCATGGCTCGACGAAGCTCGTCGATAGGCAAAGGCGACCAGGCCACCATGGGATCGAGGCACACGCCGGTTCGCGAGCGTCGCCTACCTAGGGGCCGCCCTAGGGTCGATAGACTGGCAGGAGATGGGACGTGGGCTTGGCAGAGGACTTGGAGCCCTCGCTTGGTTGGGTCATGTCTGCATTCGGGCGTCCTGATTCGCGAGTTTGGGTTTCGCTGGTGAACGGGCTACGGCGTCAAGGTGTTGTGTTGGTGTCTGTGCTCTGTGTTGTGTGCTGTGTACATTCGGGGCGGGAATTATGCAGTGGTGTATGTACGATGCGTGAAAGCGAGTCGGCAGCATGGGTTCTGAACTTTGGTTGTGGTACGAAGGACACTTGAAAAAGGTGACGGGAAGCATGTCTGAGGTGTTGCTAAGATGCGATTTGTTTGATGGCTCGGGGGATGCGAGAGAGAGAGAGAGAGAGAGAGAGAGAGAGAGACATGCAGCAACGATCGCATGGCACTGGCAACACATTAGTGTTCTTGGGAAGGGATCGAGCGAGCGAACCATGAGCTTGGAGCAGCAAGGGTCTGGAGTGTCTCTCTTTGTGTTTTTGTTTTTTCTCCCCCCATCGTTCGTTCTTTTCACTTCTTTGTCTTCTTCTTTTTCTTCTTCTTTTTCATTTTTATTTTCATCTTTTTCTGCTCTCCTCTCTGGACCTTGAGGAGAAGCGGTATTGCTTATACCTCCTTCCTGTGTTGAGCGGATAGGTCTTTCCATATCAGAGTGAGATTGTTGAGTGTACCTACGGATACTCTATCTACCTGGACGTGTAGGTATGTACTGTATCCGTACCTAGGTGCCTAATATGGTGCTGGATAAGGTACCCATCTAGGTCCATTCCTTCCTTCCCCATCCGTCCCCATCGGTTCGCCAACAATACATTCCGCAGCCCACGTCCCATTCCAGACCATATCCGTCCCCCTCTTGACATCATTCCGCGATTGACCCACTAATTACCCGATCTGCGCGGACCTGCCTTTGGTACGGCTTTGGTCCACTGCCACAGCATCATCATCGCGCATCTTTTTGCATCTTCGGAATCGAGATGCTTCGCACAGCCCAGAGTAGGTAGTGAAGTCGTCTCTTCGACCCTTGATTTTGTGGTTAGTCTTTCTTCTCGTCGCTATTCCCACTTCCCCCCCTTTTCCATCAGCCAATCTATGGATACATTCGACCCAGTCTGTCATCACCACCCGCTCCGTTCTCGAACCATCACATTGACGTTGTCAGCAGCACTGCGCCCAACCTACGCCCAGACACGTCGCCGTCGTATTCGCATCCCCAGCCGTCGACTTATACTGTCCCAGCGCGATCAAATCCCTTTTTACAACTGTCCCTCATTGCCTCGGTTCTTCCAATCCTGCAATCCTCAGTGAGAGAGAGTGTGTGTGAGGGGGAGAGAGAGAAACACGCACAGAGAGAGAGAGAGAGAGAGAGAGAGAGAGAGATAGCGTGTAAAGGAGAGTTTGCTCTAGCGATAGCCAAGCCGCTTTAAGCCTCATCTCGCTCTCTGGCGGTTTTGGATCCCCACGATCCCCGTCTTTCCCGTCCCTCCCGTCCTGCTCAACCCGGCACGCTCCGGCTCCAGGGCGAGCACCGACCGTACGCCATGTGTCGCCAGCATGAACATGAAGACGTCAAGTCCCCCGCCCTCATCACTTCGGCCTCATCTTCGACGGATCCCTTTCCCTGGGAGTCTGGCATCTACGATGCCCATTGCCACCCTACGGATACTATGTCCACCGTCGAGAGCATCCCCGCCATGCGCGCCTCTGCTCTAACCGTCATGGCCACCCGGAGCCAGGACCAGGCTCTCGTCGCTGAGCTTGCTGCGTCCCACGGTGTGCGCTCAAAGTACGCAATGTCTCAGGGTCATCTGATTCCATCCTTTGGCTGGCATCCGTGGTTCTCCTACCAGTTATTTGACGACACCGTGCCCGAGCCTGAGAGGACGTACCCTCAGGGCCAGCCCGACGCCAAGAAGCGCCATTACCAGGCCGTCCTAGCCCCCACCCCCGAGGACCCCGACTTTATCGACGCGCTGCCCGCCCCGCGTTCTTTGTCCGCCTTTTTGGCCGACACGCGCCGCCGCCTCCATGACCATCCCCTTGCCCTAGTCGGCGAGGTTGGGCTCGACAAGGCCTTTCGCCTGCCCCAAGGAAGGACCGATGCGGATGAGTCCTCTCGTGACCGGACCCTTACCCCAGGTGGCCGCGAGGGGCGTCGACTGGCGCCTCAACATGTCAAGATGCCCCACCAGGTCGCCGTGCTGAAAGCTCAGCTGGCGCTTGCCGGCGAGCTAGGCCGCCCTGTGAGTCTTCACGGCGTACAGGCCCATGGCGTCCTCCACGATACCCTCTCTTCCCTGTGGAAGGGTCACGAGAAGGAGGTCGTCAGCAGGAAAAAGAAGCGCCTTGTTGCCGAGGGAGCCGAAGGCTTTGACACGGAAGATGAGCTCAAGGAAGACGACTTTGGCCGAAAGGACGTGCCACCGAGGCCTTATCCCCCTCGGATCTGCCTACACTCGTACTCTGGGCCTGCCGAGATGTTGAAGCAGTACACCAATCCAGCCATTCCGGCCCGCCTCTTCTTCTCCTTCTCCTCGGCCATCAACCTGGGGACCAAGGCCGGGGCCGATAAGATTGTCGACGTGATCCAAGCTTGTCCCGACGACAGCATACTGGTGGAGAGCGACCTGCACACTGCCGGCGACGAGATGGACGCCAGGCTGGAGGAGATGTACCGGAAGGTCTGCGAGATCAAGGGTTGGAAGCTCCAGGAGGGCGTCGAGCATATAGGGAGAAACTACCGGGAGTTCATCTTCGGGTGAAACACTGCGCGACTGGCCCTAAAGAACCACGATACGGCCGGCTGCGAATGCGCATTTGCGATAGCGGACACTGACAACAGTCAGCCATTTTCGTCCCGCCGTGCCGGTATACGGTTCAACCCTATCACTAGGGGGCCCTTTCACTCTTAAGAAAGCTTCGGGCTAAATTTTAGGCCATTTTTGAAAAGAAAAGAAAGAAAAAAAAACCCAGAAAAAGAGGGCAAGGAAATGGCTTGGAAACGTACGTTTTTGACACGACTCGATCAGAGTAGCGGGCAACGTTGTAAGCTTCTTCATCCCTCGCAGTGCCCTGACGCCATCGACTGGTCTCACTGACTCGATTCTCACGCTTCACTTATCCATATTGGTAAACGCTCAAAGTGGTTGGTTTAATCATGTGGGTCCAGTGTTCCAAGTGCTCCTGTTTACTATCCCAACCAGGTTCTAAGGGCAGAGGGGCCTTGTTCTGATGTTTGCTACCTTCAACCCATTGAAATACATCCTGACCATACATTGTGCCGTCTACAAGTAGGACCCAACTAGACACTCATGTGAGCAATGACCAAGGACAAGCGGATACGATGTGCGCTGGATATGTCTACTAGGCTATGAAGAACATAATAAAATCTACAAAACGACTCTCTTTTTACCTCATCCCGTCACATCCATCCCCCCGCGCCAATGCTCAGTTCTTGGGGTCTCCCAGGACGCTGTCAATGTTGGACGCCGTGTCCGACGACACACTGGGCACGTACTCGGACGAGCCGGGCGAGTAGCTGCTGAAGCCGTCCGAGATGACCACCGAGGGGGCGTGGTCGTCGTACGCGGGGAGCATGTCGTCGTCCATGTACTCTGTGAAGGCGGCCGCCGGGCGGGGAGGGGCCGCGACGGCACCGGGGCACTCGCGGCGAGGGGGGCAGCACATTGGCTGTTGCTGCTGCTGTTGTTGCTCGCGCATCCTCTGCCTCCGCTCCTCGGCGGCGACCATATCCGTGACGAGCGTCGCGGCGTTGCGGAACTGCGTGATCTCGGACGTCATGCTCTCCGTGGTTTCGAAATCGTCGTCGTCGTCGTCGTCGTCGCCCTCGTCCGACGAGATGGAGGAGCGCCGGGGAAGGGCGCTCCCGGCGTTGACGCCGGATAGGAAGGCGCGCTTCTCCTCCTCGTCGCCGTCGTCGGTGGCGGCGGCGGCGGCGGCAGACACGTGCGACCAGAAGCCAGCCAGGGCCGCGTGCAATGCGCGATATTATGATCACGGGAATGTGATGTCTCGCGCCCACCGCAACCGTTGTTCGCCCTATGCCTTTACTCGGTGGATAAGTTCAGGCTCCGTGAGGTGTGACATTGTGTTAGTGGCATAGATCGTAAGGTAGACCTTCCGAGATAGAACCGCAAATAACGACCAGGAGTCAATCTTTAACCGGCGGAGTCCTGGTCATTACTAAATAATACAGTCCGCTCGAACGTGTTCTAATACGACGAGGTCAATCTAAAACGATCTAATATTCGAGAAAGTGGTCATGATGCCGATCATAATAGCAACACTATGTAGGGGCCTTTTGCTCCTACCCCGGGTGGGACGGACACGTACGGGCAAAACGGTAACTGTCGATAAAAGGTGACCGGCGTCACTTCAAAGTCCTACACGGTCATTCGCGAAAACTTGTTGGGTTGAAGCGAAAAATGGAAGCATGAGCTGTCATAGTCAATAATCAGTGTTCAAAGAGTTATCCGCTCGACGACTCGCGGCCGCGACCTTCACGGCGAGGGGCAGGCCGTGGTCGTCGAAGCCTGGGGGGAGGAGGAGGAGGAGGAGGAGGAGGAGGGCCGTGGAACGGCCAGTCAAAGGGGTGGGGAGGAGGGGGGAGGGGGGGGGAGGTGGTCCTTCGTGGTGTCCGGGAGGCCCGCGGTGTGGCTCATGGAAGGGAGGAGGCGGGGGAGGTCCTTCGTGGTGTCCAGGAGGCCCTTCGTGGTGTCCCGGAGGCCCGCGGTGAGGCTCATGGAAGGGAGGAGGCGGGGGAGGCCCCTCAGGGGGTCCATCAGGTGGAGGAGGCGGCGGGCAGTGACAAGATCCCGGAGGCGGAGGCGGGGGCGGGGGCGGGAGAGTGTGATTCCCATTCCCGTGCCCGGGAAACGGGAAGCCGGGGCACGAGGCCGGGGGAGCGCCGTGGTGGTCGCCGTGTTGGTGGTGGTGTTGGTGGTGGCGGTGATGACGGCCCTTGCCGGTGTCCTCGCCGCGGAGCCTGGCGCGGAGATGGCGCACAAAGACCTCGAAGACGCAGCTGAACGAGTCGCAGTCCCGGGAAGGGCGGCGGTGGCGGTGCAGCGGGATGATGCCGTGCTCCTGGGCGAGGTGGGACTCCTTGGCGTGGATGGCGTGCCTGAGGGCGAAGAGCTGGTGGCGGAGGCAGTCCAGCTCGTGCAGCTTGACGCGGACGTGCTCCTCCTCCTCGGGGGACATGTGACGGCCGGGGGGCGGCGCGGGGCGGTGGCTGGGGGTTCCTCGGGGCCGCGGTGCTCGCCCGGGTGGTTGTCCGGGTGGTCGCCGACGCGGTGGTGAGGGGGCGGGGGAAGGGCGGTTCCCCGGGCAGGCGGTCCCCGTCGTCGCCGGGCCTGGGGTCGTGGCGGTCGAAGCCGGGCAGGGGCTCGGGCTGGTCCTCGAGGCGGACGTTGCCGGCCACCTCGAGGATGGCGGCCGGGGCGGTCTGGCGGAAGCGGACGACGAAGGCGGCGTCGGGGGCGAGGGCGCGGCCGGCGACGGACTCGAGGGCGAAACGGAGGAGCTGCTCGTCGCCGGCGCACGTGGAGGACCAGGAGGCGACGAAGGTGGTGCCGTCGTGGCCGCCGGCGAAGGTGGCGCGGCCGAGGGTGTGGCCGCCGAGGGGGCTGTCGTTGACCTTTACACTCGGGTAGGCGCAGGGCTCGGGGGCCTCGAGGACATGGAGGCGGATGGTCTGCGGCGGGCGTTAATCGGGCTTGCTTGAGGGCGGGAAGGGAAAGGCTGGTCAGAGAGGTGAGGGGAGGGAGGCGAAAGGAAGACTTACGTAGGGCGTGGGCTGGTCATGGTTGAAACGTGGGATGTCAAAGGTGACGAAGGTCGAGGGCGAGGCAGCTGGGGGTCTGTTGTTAGCTATCGCGAACGCTTTGGCCAAGAAGGAGAAGCGGCGGGAAAGGGCAGATGGTACCTTGGGCCTTTTCCACGGCGATCTTGGAGGGAGCGGCTCCCACGAGGGCGGCGGGCGCGAGCAGCAGAGCCTGCGCGAGGCCGCGCATGACAGGCAGACGGGGTCCGGTGTTCTTCTGCCTTTACACGACTCTCTAGAAGGAGAGAAGAAGAAGAAGAAGAAGAAGAATGATAAGGCGAGGTTCCTCTTTTGCTGGCTGGAGTATGCAGAAAGACTCCCCTCTTTTCCTTTTTTTTGACAGACAGGCTGACAAGAGTCGATGGATGCGCGGCGAGTCCGCTGATGAGGTCCGTTCGGAAGATTGATTTCTCTGCCTGGAGAAACCGGGTCTTTTTCTTCAGACGTCCGTCCTCAGCTGCGATGGCACGAAACGTAGGTGAGATGAGTATTGGGTGGCTGCCTGGAAACAGGTGGGTGTACGGAGCAGATATGTGGTGTGTATGTGAGTGAGGGTGAGTATGAGAGTGAGTGTGACTGTTAGAGTGTGTGTGTGTGCGTGTGTGTTGGACGGGTTTGGAGTGGTTGCGTGTATTCGTAACGGCGACTCTGCTTGTCCAGTCGTCTTACACCGTCGGCTTGTTGACTCGCGCTTTAATTCGCGCTTCCGTCTTCTTCATCAACATCAACTCATCCCCCCACCTGGTCTGTCACAGGAAGGGTATGAGATGGGCCGAACGAAGCAACACGGAAAGATATGACGAATAAGACCGGTTTCTCTCCTGTCTCTTCTTTCTTTCAACACGTTCGCATGAAGAGTTTGAGAAAAGTCTAAGAAACAAAAAATAAAAGTGATATCGAGAAAGAAAGGGAGGGTGGGGATAAACACGAGCGATGAGATTTCCCCGTACAGGATTGAGAGCGAGAGCGACTCACTGAGGACTGAGGGAGGCAGTGTCTGCGGGGGGGGGGGGGGACGCGCAGCCCCGTCCCCGCAGTGGTGTACTTAGACCTACAATCGATACGAACATGTGCGCGTACGGAATGAATTCCAGATCTCATTTTAAGAGGTTGCGCAATCCTCTGGGCCGACTATGCGTACTACGCACCGGCTATGCCGCCTCTGACCAATCACGCCCGACGAGCTTACGAGTCCCTTATCACTCTACAATTCCCTTTCAGGCCGCGTCCACTTTCGTAGGTCACAGCGGTGCCGTGTCTTCCCTGCAGTGACAAAGTCCCCCCCCGGCCGTTTCCGGGATGGGCTTGGTGTGTTGGCGGTGTGTCATGTTCCAACACGGCCAATGGCAAATCCCCTCATGCGGAAAAAAGGCTTGAGAGTGCCGTCCTCCCTTCATGTCCTAACCTAGGTGCATCCTGTCTGCAGTACGCTGGGTACCTACATGTGCTATGCGTGCGTGCTGCTACTGCCGCGGAATAATGCGCAGCACAGCGCTTCCTTTGCCCGGGGGTGCCCCGAGTCAACGGGCCAAGTATCGGAACGTGGGGGAAAGGGGGGGGGAGGATCCGAGTTAGTTCTTCCGAGCCGGAGGGGACCCCATCAACGAGGCTTGGTTCACGGAGGACGAATACCTAGCGATATATTGAGAGAAAAGAGGAAGCAAAGAAGAGAGAGGGCCCAGGGAGGGGACTAGGTGTAAAGATGACAAGGCAGGACGGATCACGGCGCGGTTCGTGCAGAGACTCTCCCTCGAGCCACACGTTGTATTTGGAGGGGGGAAGACGGGAAGGCGGCAAGATGGCCTCGGCAAAACGGCCACGGCAAAACTGCCTCTCCCGACCTTTGGCGCTTTGAGAAGTTTGCTTTTGGTTCTAAATTAAGATGTTGTTCATCTCGCTCTATCCCCGACAGGCAAGGGGGAAGGAGAGGCTTGTCGGGATATATCATCGTCCGCGCGTGTCCTTTACCGCCGCGGCTGCGGATGCCGACTGGGGCCCAAGCCACGATCCGTCCCCGCCAGAGGGCTGCACCAATGGCGACCTCCTTCTAACAGATTGCAAGGCAACATCTTCAAAACATCGCGGTCCCTGAATCACGGGGCAGAAAGTCTCCCCCCCCCCGCCCCCCCTTTCTCCACTCCACTCGACATCAAGACGGTCCCGCGTGACGTGGCCAGCCGGCCGCGGATCAGAGCAGGTCCTTCAACACCTGCACCCTCGCCCGCGCCACGTCAGACCCCTGCTCGCCCTCGCCCATCAGCTCCATGATCTGGACCATGCGCGCTGTGCCACAGTTAGCAAAGCTCATGGGAATGAGAGGAAACTAACCAATATCCCCTCTGCCCCTCACGAACAACGGATCCCTCTCGGCCATGTCGGCCGTCGACTTGTCCCGCGCCGCCTCGCGGAGGACGCTGCCGATGCACAGCGCCTCGAGGAAGGCGCGGTGGTTGAACACCCACCACACGCGGGCCTCGAGCTCGAAGATGGTGAAGAGCAGGAAGAAGGAGGTGATGGCCTCGTGGGCGGCCTCGAGCGTGCCGCGCAGGTTGACGGGCGTGTCGGGGCTCTCGGAGGCGTGCACGAGCATGATGTTGTGGTGGTAGTTGCTCGTCAGGAACAGCGTCTGCCGCACGACGCGCTTGTTGGTGCGCGCCAGCGCCGTCAGGCTCTCGGCGTCCCACGACCGGAAGATGTCGGGGAAGGACCGGTACACGGCCCGGAAGTCCGACAGCAGCTTGGACTTGTGCCGCGGCGTCGAGCAGATGGGCAGGTCCAGCGACCGCGCCGAGCAGATGGTCTCCTGCACCAGGTTCGCCAGCGTCCACGACCCGCGGATGTAGGCGATGTCCGTCGGGTCGCTCGACGCGATCGCCGACCCGTCGTCCAGCAGGTCCTCCACCGACACGTCCGTGTGCGTCGCCGACGGCGGCAGCGAGAGGAGCACCGTGAGGAACGTGTCCTGGAGGAGCACCGCCTGCCACAGCTTGCGCCGCTGCTGCTTCTCGAACATGCTTGCCTCGGGCGTCACTAACACGAGGGGAAGGGTCATTGGTCAGTCAAAAAGCCGTCCAGCGCCGTCCTCAACCCCCTCCGGCAGCAACAACAGCGGGGAGGGAGAGCGGGTTGAAAGGGGGGGGGGGGTTGTCCTTTACCAATGTTGGGGTCGCGATGCAAGCCCATGGCGTAAGCTTGGCGTATTAGTATGCCCGCAAACGCCCAGCCGTCCGAGGCGTGATTGTCGTTGATGAGGAAGTAGGTCAACCTGGTGGTGTGTGTGTGTCTCATCAGCCTTGCTCCTCTCTTCCCTCCTCCTTTTGTTGTGTCATTTTTTCCTCAAAAGAGAAGAAAAAAGAAGGGAAAAAAGGGAACAAGAGAAAAAGAAGAAAGAAAGAAAGCAAGATATCTGTGGTTGTTCGGAACTGCACAAAAGAATCACTCACAAGACCATGGCCTGGATGGACCGGAGGGAGGCGGCGCTCAGGTAGGAAAACATGCGCAGGGCCTGGTTGCTCGCCGAGGCGTAGAACTCGGCCGTCTGCTTGCCGTCGCGGGGGGAGGTCGAGGTGACGAACTGGGTGCCGAGGGCGAGCATGACAAAGATGAGGCCGACAAAGGAGGCGTCGACTTGGTTCTTCTCGTCGGGCGACAGGCTCCAGAAGTGCTCGTAGTCGGCGTAGAAGGTCTGGCGGTGGATCATGGGGTAGACGGGGTCGACGCACTCAAAGTACTGGGCCAGCAGGATGTCGGCCTGGATCTTGTCCGGCAGCACCGAGATGACCTCGGGCAGGCCGCCCTCGCAGGTCCAGTAGTTGGCAAAGGGGTGCTCGGAGCCGATGCCGAAGACGTTGCTGGCGGTCGGCAGCGAGTAGGGCACGTTGGACAGCAGGCCGGTGGAGGAGGAGAAGGCGATGGAGCCGACGGAGCCGCGCGAGGTGAAGCCGCGGCCCTCGGTGATGCCCCGGTCGGCGATGTTGGGGATGCTGGAGAGGTCCGAGGGCTTCTTCTTGGGGGGTTTGGTCATGCGACGGCCATTGGTGATGGACCGTGATGTTTCGCTGAGTGGGAGACGTTAGTCATCTTGAAGCACCTGGTATTGTATAATGGCCTTTGTAGGAGGGGGGGGGTGGACCAACTCGAGGATATTGGCGACAACTGCATATTTGCATTCTGTCTGACGCTTGATGCATGCTAGACAATGTGGTCTGCCTCGGTCACACTGGCATCATGTTAGCCAGCGGCTCGGCAGGTCCAGTAGGAACCGGGTCCTGGCATTGATAGAGAGTGCCGAGTGATAACTGGATAATTAGGAGTTGGCTGTCGAGTGACAAGGCAACGATTCGGGCAACTCGAGAAGGCAAGATTCATGCTACATGCGTGCCACGTGCCAAGAGTAAAAGTGTACTGCTGCTACTACTACTACTACTACTACTGCTACTACCGTGCATGCAGTAACATGGCGTGTTCAGCAGTTGGCGGCAACTTGGCGATGGACCTTGACATCCGCCGACACGTTGAAGCGGCATTGCGCGCCGTCTGGGGGGACCGACGTTGCAAGCGGCGGGGGTGGTGGAAGCACGCAATGGTCGCATAGTGCAAAAGGCGGAAAGAAAAGCCAAAATCGTGGGGAGATACGGGCAAATACGAAGAAGAAGAAGAAGAAAAGAAAAGCCAAAAAGAAAGGGGGGAGGGCTTACTTTTGTCTTGCGCTCGACACACTCGGCACAGGACAGGGTAGGCTTATTGCGCCTCTGCTTCTTCCTGGGCGCATCAGGGTTCGCGGGGTCGGGGCTGGCCGAGGCGCCGTCGAAGCTGTCGGCCCTCTTGGAGCCGTTGGACGGGCGGCCTGGCGTCGCCGACGACGACGAGGGCGACGGCTCGGCTTTGAACGCTGCTGCTGCTGCTGCTGCTGCTGCCGCCCCTGGCGTTGAGGTCACGGACAGGTGAGAGGTACCATTGTGCGGATAGGAATTCGGCGGCGCCGGCAGGCGCCCGTTCTCCGAGGCCGGCGATGCGTAGAGGGACGAGGCCGAGGTCGGCGTGAACGTTCGTTGTTGCTGCTGCTGCTGCTGCTGCTGCCGTTGTCGAGGATCGTCTCGAGAGGTCATGACGGCGGCGGGACGGCAGCTCGAGATGACGGCGTCAAAAGGACTGATTGGGAGGCCCCCTGGTTATCTACCGACTGAGAAGTGACCCGGGGCGCCGGTCAAGTGAGTCGAAGCTGGCGACCAATGCCGGGCGCCTATTGGCAATGGCAACCGGCTCTGCCCCTCGCTTTTCCTCCTCTCTTTTGCTCTGTTTTCGTCTTTGAGAAATATGCTTTGGAAAAAAGAAAACCGATGGGGAGGTTATTGCGGTCCTCGGTTTCCCCTCCGAGGCAGGACTCGACCTCTAAACTTCTGTTGTTGTTTTTTTTCCTTTCTTTGTCTTTTTCCGTATGCGGTTGCCCAGACCAAACTCCGGGTTCCGGGAATCGGCAGGAGTTGCTTATGGGGCTACCTGGGCAGTTCTGGAGATCCCGGGAGGGAGGTCTTGGTGCGAGTCGTTTGTCGGCGTCCCGGGAATAAGAAACAAAAGCTTCAATGAACGGACGGCGCCGAGTCGTGTCGCCGTGCTCAAAAGAGGGGGGGGGGGGGACGGACGGCGACGGAACGGGGAAATCGGAGGTGGGAAATAAGAGATATTGGGACGCTGGGAATAAGCAGGCGATTGCAACACACGGGGAACACAATGGGAACTTGGGGAGACTTCGGTATGGGAAAATGGGAATAAGGGAATAAGAAGGATATGGAGGGAGGAAGGCGAAGGGGAGAGAGAGAGAGAGAGAGCGAGAGAGACAGAGAGAAGCACGGCAGACGGGTGGACGTGCGGGCACAGGGGGGGGCAAGGGGAACTACTGGAAACAACCGCAGCAGGACACACATGAGAAGAGGTACCCGTGCAAGAAAAGAGGGGGCCGCGGATGGCGGGTGTGACTTGTATTTTGTTCTCATGCAACATCTACGACGACGAGAGCATTTAGCCCAAAACCAGCAAGTTGGAAAACAAAAGACGCCGGCCTCCCACTCTTCAGCCCAAGGCGCAGCCAACGCAGCGCCGGCTAGTCAATGTCCAGCAACAGAGTTCGCCTCTTAATCATCCGTCGCGCTCGACTACACCCGAGCCCTACTATACAGCCCCCCCCTCTCCCCCGGAACGTTCCTGGTGTGATTAGGAAAATTGTCTTGTGACGAGACGGCACCGCTATCATGTCGGTTCACCAACACACCTCCGATAGCCAACGGCCATGGTCCTTGATGGGATGGCTGGGGGAAGGAGGAAGAAGCAGAAGAAGCAGAAGAAGAAGAAGAAGAAGAAGAAGAAGAAGAAGAAGGGGGGTCGATCAGCAGGGGCCTGAAAGACGAAAACCCCCGCTATAATGACATTCGCCGCGCAGGGGGGGTGTGGCCAGGGGTAGGGAGGGACGGGAAAGGCTTGTCTTGAAAAGAAAGAGAACACGCGCATCTTTATTTACTTCCAACCCGCATGACGGGAAACACCCGAGGTTAACCCAGTCGATGGCTAAACATACAACGGCCAGCGAGAGATTCCCAAGACAAGACGGAGTGGAGTGTAGGTAGCTGGCTGCAGCATCTCGGTAGCGCCGTGTGCGCGCATGATTTGCCAGCTCGCTTTTCCCTCGGACCCTTGGGTTGCAGCGAGCAAGATTTCTTCTCGCCATCGACGTCAGCAATAAAACGTACGGCCAATTCCCCCGATATATCCCCTTTTCCCTAGCTAGATACGGATTTTGAGACTCCCTGAACGACAGAGAGGGGACCAGGACGAGGGGGTGCGGCAGCGGCGGCCCGCTTGTTTTGACGGCCTGTGGCTTCATGCTGCCGCGCTCTGGAAAACCAAACCTGGCCCTGTTCGCTCCGTGTAGTCGCTTGCGGCTCGTGCTACCTCCATGTCTCGGTCTCGGTGCTGCACGTTGGGCCCGTTCGGTAAGTGGCCGAGGTCCCCACCGGTATCGCTGGGATATCCTGGGCCCGCCCGATGGCTGAGCCCGAACCACATGGTGTTCAATATGGAGACATACTCCTCATCGACTGGCATCTGATCAAACAAGATCCATCAGCGCCGATGGTTTAGTGGTAAAATTCTCCGTTGCCATCACGCAGCGTCGGGGAGCCGGGGGTTCGATTCCCCCTCGGCGCAGATTTTTGCTGTTCCACCATATCTTGACCCCCCAGCTTCGTGGCTTGCATGCAGTATCTTGTTATTCATTCATTTATTCTTTGTTCTTCCGTTTCGGCATGTGCTTGCGGTTGCACGTGCAGGTTTCCTTGGTCTTTCTCTATGTACTTGGTTAGAATGGCTAACCTAGATACGATGCGTATTGTAATAACTTGGTGACCTAAAAGAGAGCAGAAGACACACATATATATATATTTATATACATATATATACATATACGTGTTGGTGCTCTCGTCCAGCACTTCGATGACCGTATTGACCGCGTTGCCCGGCTCATAGTCCTCGAGCCGAATGATTATTTCCTGGGTAAGTAAGGCCTCTCTAGCTAGGTCAGCAGCGCCCATGGACTCGCCGGACGCGTCTTATACGGTCATCGAAGTGCTGGACGAGAGCACCAACACCGGAGATGCGACCAAGGATTGACAATTCAACAACCATGGGCAATCAACTGGGCGGGCTATATGCATCGGCATTTGGGAGTTCGTCAAGGCAAGCAAGTACATGGACATTATGATCCGCGACTTTGCCGCCGTGCTCCCGCGCAATCCCGCCGCACTCGTTTCGCGCGGTGAGCAGGACTACATAGATATCTATTTGAACGGCTATTTCACGGTCATGCACAAAATGATAGCCGTGCCTTTCGCCGACTGGCTGACTACCCAAGTTTCGGCCCACGAGCTTGGCTCTCGAAACTCTCGCTGAAGGGACTGTTTTTCCATCATGCAGATCGCCAGCATTCCGATCGCGACCATGACCGTTCGCGAGGATAACAACGGCCAACTCACCTTCATCGCTTCCGATGACATGTGGAAGAACATTGGCAAACGCTTCGAAAAGCAATCTCACCACGAAATCGCCAGCGATCTGTCCAGAAAGATTCTCCTCATTAAAACCCGTGAATAGGACCGACCACATGCCCTGCGCCACCGCAGAGGGAATCGAATTTCATAGCATATTTCACCGTACCAAAGTGCAACAAGATACATACACATACGCATAACATACATGTACGAATGACCATTCAGAAAATGGCAATAGCCAGTCATATATATATCTTGGTTAATGGACATCCGCCATCGTATACTCCGAAAGGGTTGCAATTGCTGCCGGGATGGTCGAGGCTAGGATATCTTCGTGAACCACATCTGTATCTCGCTCATAGTTAGCTAGGCATTAACTCTAGCAGAAGCAGCTGCCGCAAGAAAACCGAGAGCGTCTGTTCTAGAGCCCCCCTGAATGCAACGTTGGTATATCTCCTGTGATACAGTGCGGCTCAAGCAGACCAGAGCATGCCGGGCTTCTTCCATCCGACTGACAGACAGACACTCTGACGGTTCAACAAAGGCAACGAAGGGCCCCCCCTACCTACTGAGCAAGATCAATCACCAAACACCCATCCACGCCAAATTGTTGTCGCTGGCGACGTGTACATCCCGTGACCTGGAGTTTCTGCGCACCTCGTCGCCGCCAAAGTGCGACGTGGTCAACTGGAGGAAGCCCCTCGAAACTATATCATCATAAAACTCCAGCTTGTCTGTCGGTTCATCCCTTCGGTTCACAACCAAGCTGCCAGGGGATAACAGGTCTTTATCCGTACGTAGGAAAACATCCGCAACGTGGCAAAGGGGCCGGCTGGACTTTCCCCAGGAATGCTGATGTCCCCCGGAAAGAAAAAAGAAAGAAAGAAAGAATAACGATAGTCAAGGCCCAACGACAACCTCGAAAGACGTAAGACATGGTCCTATCTGTCGTCTTCATCCTATAGAGACGGAGGAGTTAACTGTAGGCCGCCTCCATGCTATCGTCATTGTAGCACTACATTGAGCAGACGTATCCTGGATCGATTCACCTTCACCTTCCACGGACGCAGGTCTTCACTTGTCTGAGAAATGAAATTTGGCTGGGTTTAATTAACCGGGATGGCGAGAGAACCCATGAATTGAATTCCCTCATCTGTTGTAATATACTGGATGTGTCGTATCTCACTGCTGCCGTCTGGATCAAGGCAAATGGCACATTCATCGGAACTGGACGCGGAGGAATGAAGATAGAATCACGACGTGGTGATTGCCCCCCAGCGAGGTTCCTTTCTTACTATTCGATATCGGTATGGGAACAAGAGGTCTATCGAAGATGGCATATAGATCAGGCCGGGATATGTTGCATCCTCAGGTGGCGCCTTCAAGCTCCGTGGTCGACTTGGATATCATGCATTATATGCAATTCAGGTTTATACAAGGGGGGGGGGGGGGGGGGGCGAATGCACCTCGACGGGCGTCGCGATGTCCGCAGCCCCGCGTCGAGAGGGGAGGGAACAGGGTTAATAAGACACTGATCCAAGGCGGTCTCCCTAGGGTCGCACAGGTACACAAACATTGGCCATACACAGTCACAATGAGCAAAGGGAAAGTATATCATGCCCGATACTCGACACAACACAAGGTTTAAGAAGAAAAGTGCCATGGAGGTATCCGGGCATCTGCGGCCATTGACTGCAGATAAACGGCCAAATCATAAGTCGTTCAAACAGCACCTCTTAGGACAGAGGTACTGTGAACCTAAGGTCGGCTGGTTATCTGGTGTACCCAATTCAACCATGGAAAACCCGGTTACGACAGGCACACCGTCAAAGTCTTTGTGGCCACCCGATGTCTAAAACAGCTCTCTCTCGCTATCACTCTCGCTGTGTTTCCCGCCTACATTTCGGTTGTATTTTGCCTCGTAAACGTTTTCAGATGACTCGTCTATGCACCCCCCCTCCCTCTCCTCCTCGTCCAACCCACTGGTATCGACCGAATCTCGCAATACACCTCGGCAGCAGTTGGCCATTGCTCACACCATCGTCACACCAGTCGCTAGAAGAGTCAGGCTGAGTTTGCAGACACGTAGGTGGCCCAAGCCAAGCCCTCTTGTGCCCTCGTGCTTGCACCTGTTTGTTGATCAACCAAGCAGTCAACTTGTGCGTTCCCGGTTGACGGGCCTTGCAGCGTTTACTTGGAATAGCCGTATAGGCACGGTAGCAATTCGTCTGCATCTCACAAGCCACACCATACGGAGGCCAAACAGGGCGAAAGTCGAGAATTCGTACACGTGAAGGACTCATCCACACTTTCTCTCTCTCTCTCTCTCTCTCTCTTTCTCGTCCTCGCCGACGTCATTTGGCAGCGGGATGCACCGCGGGGTCCACGCGGATCGACCCCGCCAAAAAAGCTTCAATTGATGCGCTCCGCCCCCCGCAATTCCCTTGCCGACTCCTCTACAACTTCTCTGTTTTGTCCCATTGACCAAAAACGCAGCGAGTTGAACGTTGCGCGACGCGTTCCTGTAGATCCGGATAAAATAAAATAAAAAACTTGAAACCTGCGTCGCCCGCATCAAGTTGACCGCGAGCGGAACCGCGGGTCCGGCGATGATGATGAATCATAGACGCGGCGGCCAATAAACACACACACACACACACGCACACACACAGACGCATTCTCTCTCTCTCTCACACACACTCACATCCAATAGCCTCGCGCAGTTCCTCTCTCGCAACCTTGCCATCTACACAAACACACGCCCCCCCCACCCCGCGAGAAAACGAACAAACGAAGCAAAGCCCAGCACCGGCCCATGAATCCCGTCAGAAAGCTGACAAGCCGCGTAAGCCAGCTCTCTCACCACCTCGCGCCCTCGTCCACCATGGCACCGGCCTCCTCCTCCTCCTCCTCCTCCTCCCCCGGCCCGGCGCCCTGGCGCGCCGACTTCCTCAAGAACGTCAACGACATGGCCTCGCCCGAGTTCACCCTCGCGACGCTGCACTCCGCCCCGGCCCCGGCTCCCGCCCCGGCCGTCCCGCGCCTGCGCACCGTCATCTTCCGCGGCCTCTGGGCCGAGCTCCCCGTCAACCCCAACCGAAATACTACCAACTAAACGGCTACAGCCATTATATTCGTTTTTATTATCGCGCGTCAATATGATGTGACGTCCGCACGAGACAGTTTAAGATCCGTACTGTGTAAACGGCATGCCGAAGATGAATGTATTGGCCTGCAAACATTCACGATGTGGTCCTCAGTTTAGCGGCGTGCGTCACCTACCGATTTAACATCACGGTAAGGCACGATAATCCCCACCCCGCATCCGAAGAGAGGCATAATTCACTCGAGTGTTGAAAAAGCGGTATTTAAGTCTAAAGAGCTCACCACGATTGCGTACGACCATAATATAGATTCAACCGGACACTTCCGGGTGCTGCTCCCGAATAAACTGCATGAGTCACTTTCGGGCTTGCTGATTCAGTCGGTGCGTCATCTATCGCCCTGAGTTCATTTACGTATCTACGCCGCGAGTCCGCTCAACTTATCGGCCAAGCTTGCACGGATAGCTTCAACTCAATTCCTGTACGTGTAACAACTCCGGCTTAAACTTGAGATGCGCACCAGGAACCCTAGGTGGTTGGGGAGGTAAAACGATACTCGAAGGTGCCCATAGGACATCAACCGCAGGATCATTTGCAATATTTCTACTCCTGACGACGACGACTGGAGCTTCGCCCGCGAGGTCACGGCGCACTTTGGGAACCTCAGCCCGGCGATGCGCGGCACGTTCCGCAACCCGGAGCCGGGGACGTCGCGCAAGGCGAACCCGGCCGACGGCGGCCACGGGCTGGGGCACAAGGTCGAGGACCTCCACGACGAGGTGGCGCGCGCCAACTTCCGCGTCGTCGTCATCGTGCCGACCGAGGTGGACGAGACGGACCTGAGCGACCCGGAGGACCCGCGGCGGTGGCTGTACCGGTTCGTCGGCGCGTCGGCCGACGCTCGCCCGACGGACGATACGGAACGATCCAACGGTTGGGAGAAGATTGAGCTGTGGCCGTAGAAGACGCGGACAAGGGGGGAGGGGGGGAGGCCATCTGTTGGACGACGCTGCTACACTATATGCAGGCCCCCGGTGGAGAAGGGGAGGGGGAAAGGCGGAATAGATTCACTCGGCTAGAGACGACGCCCTTTCATCCGCGGTGTGGTTCGTCCCAACCGAGGCCATGCTGCCAAGCGTCTACAAAAGAACAAGTCACCATCACATTGCCCTTATTTCACGTCTCATCGTCCAACATTAACTTTTTCTTCGTTCTTTTTCGAGACACGGACGACTATCACAGCGGGCTGTTTGGCGACATTCAAGCCACATACATCATTCCCGGCGTCTGCCCCAGTCATAAACTCGTCATAAAGAAAAGAGAGAGAAAAAAAAAGAAAGAAAAAAAGCAGTCAGGCTTGCGAAGGATTCGACTGGGAGGAAGGGGGGAGAAGGTGGGGAAAGCCGACAAGCCGAGCCGTGCCGTGCTTACGCTTCCCCCCCCCCCCCCCTCTCAACACGCCTCACCGGTCGATCAAAGAAAAGGAATGCACCGTCCATATTTGTTCACCTCGCTCGAGTCTTGGTGGCGTCAGGGGGGAGGGTTCGATCCGTTGACGTTGGGTGAGCCGGCACTCGGGGGACAAAAAAGACCGCCGGTTTCCCCCTACACAACAGCCACCCTCACCACCAGTACTACAGCTCCTGCAATAGGCAATGCAGCTTTTTACATGCTAAAAATATACATTTGTGAGGACTCATGAGACAAGAAAGTATACATCTTACCTATTTTCTGGTATCTAAAAGCAATAGGGCCATAAGATAAGGTTCTTCAAAACCAGCGGTCTTTTTTGTCCCCCGAGTGGCCGGCAGGCAAGAAAACAGTGCGTGTCCGGGGTCGACGGCCGAACATCTCTTTGTGGTCAACGCCGCGTCCCGACGGGGTCTGGTCCTGCAGTCTGTGTGTGTGTGTGTGTGTTGCTGTGTTTGGCCGCGCGGGATCGGATGTTCTCACGCACGCCGGGCGCCCGCGGAATCCAAAAACGGTTGAGTGACACATGGGCGGAACCGGCGGTTGCTTTCTGCTTGTTGGTTTTTTTTTTTGTCTGTCTGTTGGTCGTGTTGCATATTTGCTCTTCCGCGAGGGCTTTTTGCTTGCATCATGGCGATTTGGAGTCTCGAGCAAAGCAAGCCGCCCAAAGCATCGCAGAAGAAAACAGCCCCCCCTTACTGCTCTGCTTCCCTCCGCCCACCCCATCCCTCTCTCCCCCTAGTTCATTCATCGTCCATTCTAGTGCCCACGGTAATCCTAATATAGTGAGGAGCAATATCGGTGAAGAATCATCTCGAAGGCCATATTTTCATGGCCCCCCCCCCCCCCCCCCCCCCCCCGCTACGAGCCACATGGCGATTCCGATCAGCACTGCCATGTTCCTCGTGTCGTAAGCCAATTTCGCCGTCAACGGGGCGTCGAGAGAGAAGCGAAGTATCCGTGCCCTACACTAGGAAAGGGTGGGAACGACTATTGTGTAAAAACTCGTTCAAATCTCTCAGCCCACCCGATGCGTTGCTAGTTTGCTTGCACAGCAACGGCAGAAACGACTGGCTCATTTTCCCGATTAGGTCCAATCCGCCGGCCAGCAGACGACCATCCATCTCCAGGGCTGAAAGGTCGAGCTCGTGTGGCAGCCCCAGCACTCCGTGTACGGATACTAACTATATACTTATGTACGGATACATCTATCCTCCTTGCCCAGAGCCCGTCTCCACGACTAGTCAGTCAGTCATTCCACATGGCAGCCATGCAAGCCCTAAGCCACAAAGGAAACGCCTTCTCCACTCCGGATCTGGGACTTCTGCTTCCCCGAGCCCTTGACGACCGGTCGTCATTTGCGCGTACCTATAGCGTGGTTGCAGGGAGGAAAACGAAGAAAGTGGACAAGTAAAAAAAAAAGGAACCAGACAGGGGGAGGGGAGGCTGGTGGCTCTCTTCTCTCTTTTTTTCTTCTTCTTCTTCTTCTTCTTCTTCTTCTTACGATGGGTCTTCCGAGGCACAAGAAGAGGTGATTTCAATCCTCATGAGACGAACATGCGCCGCCCGTGAGCAGCATGGCAAAGTCATGTGACATTTGTTGGCAGTCAGCCCGTCTGCTCAATACATGACCCCCCTTTCGAGGGCGGAAGCCGCATGCTTTGCCTACTTACGCACGGGTACGTAAGGTGGTAGAGCAGAGCGTACTACTACCTACATAGTAGGTATGGTAGTATTCAAACAAGGGCCGGCTGCAGCTAGCGATCGGTCTCTACTGCGTCCTGCCATTGCCGGCCCTCACCAAGTGATGCCTGGCGCGTGATTGATGGCATATTGGTGGGGAGAATAACACGGACAGGAGGGTCATGTTTCCAGATTCGTCAATGGCCCAGGGTATGGAAACTCTAAACCGCGCGAGTGTGAGGGATTGATTCTTCCCGAATTTGAGCATAGGTCGCCGATGTCGAGCAGAGGTCGGCGATCATTACGGAACATCCCCGGCGTTTTCAGTCGTTTCCCTTCCCGCCCCCTCCTGACCTTGAGGCCATTAACGGTGAGAAAAAAAAAAGGGGGCTTTGCTTGTCTGAGGCAAGTCTCACTTTTTCAACAACAAGTTGCGCTGCGTCCTAGTCCAATCGAATGGCCGACCCTCTGACCGCCCTGGCTCACATAACCGCCAAGGCAGCATCTCGACATTACCTAGGTGCCGTAGCTATGTATGGATGGAGTGTGCCTTGATTCGCCGCCGTATCGGCTGCTCGTGTACCCGCTGCTTGTCGAGGCATTGGGGGAAAGGCAAAAAAGGTCGGGGTCCCCGCCTCGTTGCAGTTTATCATCGCTCCCCCGAAATAACCACCCGATGTGACATCGCCGGTCGAGTTGGCCGAGTCGCAAGTATCGCTCCCACTCTCCGCGCAGCTCCTGGGAGCTCCCATGCAGATAAGCGGCGACTCAGCGGGCGCTTACCTTTTGGACTAGGACTTCGGAACAGAGCTTGATGTGATGCTCCGTCATGGTGAGCTCCCGGCCGAATTCTGTAATAAGATTGCGGTCGTGCGCTGATGTATACCTAGTCAAGCACTTTGGGCTTGTCCACGCCGCCGAGTGGGCAAGGATTCTCCTTGGCTACCTCGAACGTGGACGCGTAGTCGCCTGCCACTCGGACCGCCCCTGGGACCGAGTTTCGGTTAGATTTTAGCATCGACCAAAGAATTGAGTTGCCAGCTGCAGTCTGGCGGATCCGAGGAAGAAGCGCTCAACTCGATTCTTTTGACCAATCTTGTAATTACTAGGCGACGGCGTGTGTACAGCATACACCTTTTCAACGCGACGGGCCCCCCTTCAAGTTTGCAAGCCGGCGCGAAAATGCATCTGGCACTCACTGCACATCACAACGCGTATACAGCAGGGAAGAGCATCAGACATCGGGCTAGTGGGCCTCCTGACACGCGCAGCGAAGCCCTTCCCACACGCAAGCAGTACTGTCCGTCTCCCTCCCTCGGATCGAGTACAACGCCGCATCGAGCTCTGACGAACTTTGCCGGACAACGGCCAGTGTGCTGCCGCCATGCGGACTCAGGCGCGAATGTTTGGGGTGTGGCGGGTGCTGGCATTGCATGCTTTTTATGATCATGAGGCCTTCACCGTCATTTTCCATTCAGTTGTCGAGCGGCCTTGTTGTGGGCAGGATTCTGTGCCCATGAGCTGCATGGCGAATCCGACCCGTGAGTTTCCTAGAGACAGAACAGAAGCCCCAGCATTGTGACGTGCCACAGATAGCTCTGCTGCCCAATGTTTACTATCGTTAATTAGCACCGTCTGTTGTCATTTGTTTCCGACCGCATACATGAATAGACGATCGACCGACTAATGGCCATGGGAAAACTTCCATCGAATACCTGTCTTAAACACACGCCACTGTTTGACTATTAAACTTTGGGCTCGTCAGTATTCGTAAACCAAAAGTTCAGATGCCCCAATGCTTGTTGTCATTGGCCGCAACCAAAAAGACAGCTAACGCAATGTGCATAGAGGCCGGTTCGGCATCGACGTCTTCTGTAACTCGGGTGGCCTCTTGATCTCGGCGCGGCCCTGTAATACTGGTATCGAAGACAAGATTCTGAGCATCCATCTGATCTGCCAGTCAAGCGCACTCGACCCCGGTCCAATGTTCGCTTGAGGCTCTCGCTAGCCGTATTGTTGTCATGCAACTCGAAGCCGTTCTCAGCCAAAGTATGATTGTCTGGACTGCAGCCTGTTCAATACCTAGTAGCCGGTTGGAGGCAATCACTTTGCGGGGATTACCCTGGCACAGGCCCCAGCTGTTCGATTGAGAGAAGCTCTACCTAGTTCGTCGTCCCTGTCGATTGCCTGACTCTGCCCCGGCTGTGTCGGGCGGAGGGAGCCGGCCAGCTCGGTAGTATTCGTAGGCTCGCAACATCTGGCATGGTGACCTGTTGACTGCCCTTTGACACTGACCGCCGTCTTCGGTTGTGCCAAAACTCTATCTATGCTTCTGGAGCTTCTGGTAGCTGCAACCATTAAATTCGCAGCGTCATTGGTCCAGCGCAACCGATCGATGCACTGACCGAATGATTGAGGAGCGTCGCCGTATGAGTTAGGCAACACACCTACGTGTGCATGCATGTGCAAGGAAAACCGGACGATGTAGTCTTTTGGTACCGTTGGCCAAGGGATTGTGGCTTGTGTTGAGAGCTTTCAGGCGCGGGAACCGACCTTGAACGAGACTCTTGGCCGTTCCCGGCCTGAAAGTCTCCGGTGTCAGCCATTTGCGTACGACATACCGTATACTGCGCGATGCCGATAACAATGCGAACCGACGTCAAGAGCACAAATGTACGGACCTAGAGAGGCACGCGCCAGGTTGCAGAGGACTCGCAGTAGCAGCGAGGAGAGGGGGGGGGGGAAGGATGCCTGCGGTTAAATGTGCCGACGCATCAAAGCTCGATTAGCTTAGACTCACAAAGAGTCA